ATGGAAAGCCAACGAAATGCAGACTGCAAGTTTCTACTCCCAGGGTTTCTGGGATAGAGCCTGGGAACTTTCATTTCTGAGATCCTTGGTGAGGGCTGGCAAGATGGCTCAGCAGTTAAGGGTGCTTGCCTCCAAGTCTGAAGACCTGAGTTTGATCCCTGGAAACCACATCTTAGGAGAGAATCAACTTCCACATGTCCTCTGATCACCCCACAAATGTTCCACAAACATACAAAATAAATAATTTTTTAAAAAGATCCTTGGTAATAGTGATGCTACTGTTGTCCAGGGACTATTTTTTTTGGAAACCAATGACCCACATGTATGTTGAAATTGCTAAGTAGTGTTATAATAGTGGTTCTTAACCTGTGGGTCGTGACCCCTCGTGGGAAGTGTGTTATATATCAGATATCCTACACATCAGATATTTACATTACCATTCATAACAGTAGTACAATTACAGTTATAAAATAGCAATGAAGTAACTTTATGGTTGGGGTCACCACAACATGAGGAACTATATTAAAGGGTCACAGTGTTAGGAAGGTTGAGAACTACTGTGTTATAGAGTAATAATGAACCAGGAGACAAAAAGGCCAAGAGATAAAAGGGAGTGACCTGATGATCAGAAGGCAACCAGAGGCAGTAGTAGACGATCACATGACCTAATATTTAAAAGCTGGGTTTTTATTTGAATTGATTAGAAACGGTGTGGCTAAACAATATTTGGTAGCCCAAAATGGGATTAAGGCAAGGTCAAAGACAGATTGTCAAGGGCCCTGGCTGCCAGTGTTCCAATTAGTGTGGGGGCCTTCTGTGTGGAGCAGGTGCAGGTAAGTGCACCACTACGGCATGTCCCTGGGGCACTGCATCGGTCCTCATCACAAGAGTGATCACAGTCAGGGCAGTGCATGTCCTGGCAGAAATCAAAACCAAACTCATTAGGGGATAAGAAGTCCCACAAAGCTATCTAGTATTTAGGGTAAGGAAGATCTAAGAGGCAATAAATCTTGAGGCAATAAATCTTGGCCTAGCTTGAGAGTAGAGCAAAACAGAGTTGAGACATAAGAAAGCAGGATGATCTATGGGCCACAGTGACTGTCACCAATGTAACTGGCGTTGGCTGCACTGCGGAGGCTACCATCTTCCCTTTTGTGTTCACTCTTCTTGGAACCTTTGCAGACTGCAGAAATGCAGGACATGCACCCTATGCATTTCTACCCTAGCTTTTGTCACAGGGGATTGAAATTGCCGCTTGCAAATAGTGTCATCCATAACTCTTTTTTTGAGACAGGATCTTACAATGTAGCTCTGGCTGTCCTGGAACTCAACTTGTAGACCAGGATTGCCTCAAACACACAGGGATCTACTTGTCTCTGCCTTCCAAGAGGCATGCACCACCATGCCAGCTTGTTAAAATCTTTTTTTCCAAATAATTTTTCCTTTTCTGTTCTTCAAATACTATGATTTTCTTTTTCTGGTGTGTGGACCAAACTCAGGGCCTTTCGTATGCTAGGTAAGCACTATCACTAAGCTACATTATCTGCCCAGTACTACAGCTGTTTTTTCTCTGAGAAAGGGTCTCACTATGTAGCTCAGACTAGCCTTGAGCCAGTGGGTAACCTAAACTGGGCTCAAATTCTTGATCCTTCTTCCTCAGCCTTGCGTCCTGGGCCGTGTGCTATCCACCTGGCTGAATTCACTGTTTCGAGACATGCATCCCAAGTTGTTCTCGAACTTCCTTGTAGCCAAGCAGGACTTTAAACTGCCGATATTCTTCCCTCAACCTCTTAAGTGCTGGGATTACAGGCCATGTGCCACAGGCCTGGTTTATGCAATGCTGGGAATCGAGCCCAAGGCCTTGGGTGTGCTATGCAAGAAATCTGCCAACAGAGCCACACATCTCCAGTCCAAATTCAATCCTTTTCCTAAAAAGAAATTGTATTGGCAGATGGCTATGACTGAGCACATGTGGAGGTCAGTGGACACCTTACCGGAGTTAGTTCTCTCTCTCTCTCTCTCTTTTTTTTTCCCCGAGAAGGGTTTCTCTGTGTAGTTTTGGAGCCTGTCCTGGATCTCGCTCTGTAGACCAGGCTGGCCTTGAACTCAGAGAGATCTGCCTGGCTCTGCCTCCTGAGTGCTGGGATTAAAGGCATGCGCCACCGCCGCCCAGCTGGTTCTCTACTTTAACCATGTGTGGTCCAGGGATTGAATTTAGGTATCAGGTTTGGTGGCAAGTACCTTTACCCACTGAGTCATCTTGTAGGCTCAATGGAATAGCTCAGGCTGGCCTCAAACTCATGATTCTTCTGCCTATGGCTCTTCAGCATATCTTGCTGGTGTGTACAACTCTGTTGACACTCTCCAGTCTGTTGAGCTGCCTTCAGGCTGTGCAGTGTGCTGAGTCATTTCTGCTTCTCTAAGTAACCCCAATAAAATTCATTGGTTCACCAAGTTAAACTTCGGTGGTATCTTATTTGGGTCTGTCACGGGATTCCTGTCTGGGGTGAGTAGATGTGTGTGTTGTATCTCCCCAGTAAAAATTCTTTTGTGTATGGGTGTTTTGCCTACATTGTATGTATTCTGTTCACTATGTGCACGCCTGGTGCAGAGGTCAGAAGATGGCAATCGATGCCCTGGACCCTGAGTTAGAGATGGGTGCAGGGAATTGAACCTAAGTCCTCTGGAAGAGCAGCCAGTGCTCCTAATGAGCCTTCTCTTCAGGCCCTGATCTTGACCTTCCCATCATCCTGTTCCACTTCCCTGTTGGCATTACAGATGCATGCTTGTTTTTCTCCGCAGAATAGCTTTGTGGTTATTCCATACCTTGCTCCATTCCTCATGTCTTCTGGTTTGAGACAGGGGCTCTAAGTATCCTAGACTGGCCTTGTACTCTTGAACCTCCTGCCTCAGTCTTGAGCGATGTAAGTAAGAGCAAGTGTGCCTCCCTAGTTTATTTTAGGTTATCTCCAGACAACCTCTCTTGGTCCAACTTCTCAAAATAGTCTGGGTTAGCCTCTTTCAAGTGCACATTCCTGTCCTCATCTGAAAAGCAGACCGAGCTCTTAGAACAGGGAACAGTCTTGAGCAGGTTTCTATGTCTAGAAAGTACTCGGAACTTAGATGACACACATAAAACAACTGAACTACAATGAAAAAAAGCATTCAGCATTCACAACTTTTATGAAACTCCACACAGTTCTCTGCTAGGAGGCAAGGTACATGGAAGCATTGAGGGCAAGAAGCCTGGTGAAACCCAGCAATGACTACAAGCAGCCCACTGCTATTTTAATCTAAGAAAATCTAGACACACAGTGTGAGTCATAGATAGAGGTGTGTTGTAGGGTAAAGGAGGAAGTAGTGGAGTAGAAACTGTTTGAGGGCCTTCTGGTGTGACTGCTGCTTTAAAAAGGAGCATTACATACTACGAACTTCTGTGAGCTACAGCAGGCACTGGCTGACTTCACAGTTTGCTGTGTTTTGCTCCTGGTGAATTTTACTAGTCATGCACTACATGGAAAAGAAATTCATCTAAATCACTGTGGAAGTCCTCTGCAGCCCTTCACTTTGATGCAATTTATACGACGGAATACTTCTGTCAACAGGGTGGTTTTAGTTTTGATCAATTGTGTTCCTGCGGAAGCTGTTGAACATTACTTCTTATTTTGGAAGAGTAGCAGTCTCCATAGAGACCTTATTGTTTATCTCTAGAAAAGCTGTGCCATTTCTTCATTAGGGTATAGGAGCAGTGTTCCAAATGCAGGGTGTAAAAGTGGGATTAAAAAGACAAAAGCCGAACACTAACGATCAATATTGTACTGTAGACCATATACTTTTACAGTAAGAAATGTACAATAACTTGCTTACAGCAGCTGCAAAAATTAAGAATGGGTTAGAAACACCCCTTAGCCAACCAGAGACTGTAAGGCTACAGCAAAAGGCAATGTTGGATCAGTATCTCTTATATCCACAAGACAAAATGATGCTAATCACTGTTTACTTCAGGCCATAACACACCACTTAGACCCTTGGGTGATACTAACATAACTGTTATCTACTGGATCTTGCAAAGCTACAAAAAAGTGATAAAACTAGATTCATATAATACATCCCAATTAAAAAAAAATTTTTTTTTTTATTTAAATAGAGAGGGACAAGATCTAAGTAGTCTTGGCTGTTCTGGAACTTGGTATGTAGACCAGGACTGCTTTGAATTAAAAGATTTGCCTGCTTCTGCCTCACAAGTGCTGGGATAAGAGGAGTGTGCCGCCACACCAGAGCATCCCAGTTACATGGCTCTTTCACCCTGCTCTACTGTCAAAGATATTATAAACATACATCTAAGAATACCACCGCCTACTATTCTTTCTTGAGGCAATACTCAAATTGACAAGTACCCCCAACATTTTTACAGAATTGTTGAGAAAAATAATCCAATTTTCTTTTCTGTAATAACTTTTTTTGAGACGAGGTCTCATGTAGCTCAAGATGACCTTAAACTCCTGCCCCTCCCCCATATGTCCTTCTGAGACAAGGTTTCATTATATTATATGCTCAGGCTGGTCTTGAACTCCTTGATTCAAGTGATCTTACATCAGTCTTTTAAATTGCTGGGTGTATGCCACTACATCTGCCTAAATTTTTGATGTGCCTTTCTCTCTCTCTCTAAAGATAGTTTCATTCTATAACCATGGCTACCTGGAACTACGTAGACAAATTTCAAATCTGTTGTCATCTCCCAACTCTACCTGCCAAATGCTAGGCTTACAGATGTGGGCCACTACACTTGGCTAATAATGTTTTAAACCTTTGAATTAAAATTTTACCATCATGTATTATGTATCATGTGAATATATATATTCACATCCATCTTTTCTAATTGATGGTTAAACAGACACACACTAAATAAGTATCAATGTGACAAGGACAAAGACAACTCAACTTACTATCAGGAAAAACTGTGACCGTCTATGCAGTATTTGACAGAGAAAACACTGCTATTCGACAGCTAATATTTTATTCAATAGCAGTCTCATTACATGTGGTCCAAGAACATTCAAATAGGAACTCAAATAAAATCAGATGTTAAAGATCAGTCTTCAAACATCATAGCCAACGATGCCACGTTTGCCTATGATCTCTCCGACATAAAACCACATCCATACCTCAGTGGCCACCAAACCATTCAGCACAGCTTCCTGGAAAAGAAAAAGCACAATTTTTAAGGTACTTTAAAAAACAAATAAAAAACCCAACACATATTTGAAATTATTCTCTCTCAGAGAATATAGGGATGTTATTCAAAACTACAGAACAGTTTTAGCCAAAGTCAGGAATTACTAATGTTCAATGTTCAACTCCTGAAAACCTTGAACTTTCAATTTTGTAAGGCAAATGGGCCTGAGCTTATAAATTCTTTCAAAGGAATTTTTAAAGACCTGACTGACTTAACCCTTTCATTATTAGTTTATGAGACACTTTCTGGGCTCTAAAACAACCCACATCCTGGAAATGGCTCCACATTAGACAGGGCATTCATGGGAGGGCTTGTCTCTTAATAGACACTTCTGTCCGTCAAAGTTGGATAAGTCTGTGTTCTTCCCTTACACCCACCCCATGGACTTCATTTTTATTTACTATCATTTGGTTTAATTCTTTCCAATTGTTCAATATCCATTTTATGTTTCTGACCCCCCCACCCCCCAAAAAGGGAAAAAAACAAACAAACAAACCCACACATGGTTCTTGAAAGCATTGTTTCATTTAAGCACAAACTTGTATCTAAAAACTCTAGTTGGAAAAAAATATCTTTCCATAAACAAACTGGACGCCTTTACTTCTACTAAGAGTGTTTCTGGAGGTCATTGCCCCTTCAGTCACACCAGGGGCCATTAGAAGTCTCCTGTCACCACTACCCAGGTGAAGGCTCGAACACAGCAGTTACTTGAATTGGATATTAAAAGTCAAGTTCCAATTCTTTTTTGTTTGTTGTTTTTTTTTTTTGAGACAGGGTTTCTCTGTGTAGCTTTGTAGTCTGTCCTGGAACTTGCTCTTTAGAGCAGGCTAGCCTCAAACTCAGAGATCTGCCTGCCTCTGCCTCCAGAGTGCTGGGATTAAAGGCACGCACTACCACCACCTGGCTCCGAGTTCCAATTCTTGTGGCCTTTAGTCTACACGCAATTTGAAAACCCAGATTTTGGTATTTTTGTTCTGCCTAATAATTCTAGAGGTCTTTAGCTGAAATGGGGATAATTCCAGGACAAAAACAAAACAAAAACTCAGCAAAGGCAGCTATCAGATTATAATATACTAGCTAAGATTAGGAAGAAAATCAAGGCTGCCAGTCAAGATGCTCACCTTTTTGTTCTAAGACCACAACTAGACCAAGACAAAGAGGAGCTGAGTTAGTTCTATCCAGATTACAAAGTGAGAAAAAAATGTCTTTTCTTGGCAGTCAAAAGAGATTATCTCTCATTATGTTGGATTCTGCTTTATTGGAAAATACATATAGTAAAAGAACCTGAAAAACCCCCAGGGAAGACATTTTCTATCACAAACATACTTTTTCACAGCCCATAGTTACCTTAACTGTAAGCTGTTTGAAGCTACGAGTTTTAGCACTTTGAATTATTTTTCTCGCACTCTGAATAGCTGCAGGGAGTTCAGCAGGGGTTGGGGGAACCAGCTCAACCTTGGCGTACCGCCAAAATGTAGCCAATCGAGGCTTCGAGTAAGTCACCGCAGCTGGAAAACAAAACAAAACAAAAACCCAGGATGAACTCACTAGAGATCGAAAGAAGCAGATGTGTGGGCTGGACACAAATATTTATTCATCTATCACATCCACTCACTGCTTGGACTGAATGTGCAGCCGGTGTGAAAAGTCAGAGCTGCTGCTCCCTGGTAACAAGAGGCTTTTAAAGATGCAGAACACCTGTGTCACAGGGATACTCAACCGACAGGAAGCTCTAAGCAGTCAATTATGCCAGGACTCACTAGTGGCCAGCTAGTACTTATTCACCTCTGAATGGCAAATCTAATTAACTCTAAAGTTACTAGTCCCTAATTGGAAAACAAAGACAAGCAATTTATTCATTTTTCTTTGTAGAAACACCATATTTTGAAGAGGAGTCCAGAAGGGAAAGAAGCTATGTAGATAGCATCCTTTTATCAGTAAGATCAGAGTTCATCACAATATTGACCACAAGTCCAGAGGAAATTATACCAGTAAGTATCCATTTTTGGTATCCTTAGCAATACGTGCTTCATTAAATCTCTCACCATGCATAGCTGCATCCCCTTTCAAAAACTGCACTCATAATACAAATAAAACTTACATGTATTGGTAAGAACAATTGAAACTAGACTGCACTGGGTGGTGGTGCACACCTTTGATCCCAGCACTCAAGACAGAGGCAGGCAGATCTGTGAGTTCTAGGCCAGCCAGGTCTACAAAGTGAGTTCCAGGACAGCCAAAACTACAGAGAAACCCTGTCTTGAAAAACAAAAACCAACCAAACAAACCCCTAAAATTCCTTGATTTATTTATTCACTATTTCAAATCAATGAATTTAGAAGGAGAAATAATCACAAAATCAGCATAAGGTCTGGAGATGTAGCTCAGTGGTAGAGCACATGCAAAGTCCTGGGCTGAAGTTGTGAGAGAGAGGGACACAGACACACAAACTGAGGAGAGAAACACATATAGAAACTGCAAGAGCAGCCGGGCATTAGTGGCGCAGGCCTTTAATCACAGCACTTGGGAGTCACAGACAGGTCAATCTCTGAGTTAGAGGTCAGCCTGGTCTACAGAGTAAGTTCCAGGAGAGCCAGGACTACACAGAGAAACCCTGTCTAGAAAAACAAAAACAAACAAAGAAACTGCAAGAGCAACAAGTGCTCTTAACTACTGAACCATCTCTGCAGTCCCAGAAACAATTACTTATCTATACAGACTAACATAAAATACAGCATGTGTTTGAATGCTTGTGTGGGCAAGTTTTGTGTTAACCTGACCCAAGTTAGAGTCATTTGGTAAGAAGGAACCTCAACTGAGAAAATGCCCCTACTAGTTCGGCCTGTGGTGCATTTTTTTAACTGGTGATTGATGTGAAGAGGGTCCAGCTCACTCAGGATGCTGCCACCCCTGGGAGCTATAAAAAAAGCAGGCTGAACAAGCCATGGGGAGCAAGCCAGTAAACAGCACTCCTCCAAAATCTCTCCTTCAGTTCCTGGCTCCAGGTTCCTGCCCTGATTTCCCTGGATAATGGATTTCATACTGGGAAGATGAAATAAACCCTTTCCTTCCTAATTTGCTTTTGGCCATGGTATTTTATCACAGCAAAAGAAACTGTCCAATGAGAGAAATTTAAAATGGACTCTAGTAGCAAGAAAAAACCCAGTATCTAGATGACAACTTGTAAATTCCATTGTTTAATAAAAGGAAGTAGAGCTTCTTGGAGAAATGGCCAAGTCTAAGGCTGGACAGAGAAAATAAAAAGATATTCATCATGTGGTACCAAAAAATAAGGAGGCATGTTAAAGGGGGCAGAGGTGCCAACTTAAAAGATCTACAGATGGCCAAGGCTGGCACAATCTCAGCAATAAATGACACAGAATTAGATATGAAAGCATGAAATAAATTAAAATGTGCCAGTATAATTTAGAACGGAAAAAAGAAATGGGAAAGAAAAAAGAAAAAAAGGAAATGGAAACAAGACAGATCTTTCTCACAGAATTCCACTTGATCTATGTAGAAGCTAGACCCACCCAACACTTTAACAGAAAACCCTCCTGCTCTGGTTACTTGCTTCTAAAGATGGGTGTAGACACAAAAGACATAAGGCTGGTCGGTCACCACCATCATGTCATAGTAAAATCACATTCTTTTTGGGGTAGAGGTGAAGGTAGGAGGTGGACTTGCTGAGGTCCAGGAGAGGGAGGGAGAATGGTGTGTGTGTGAAAAGGACTAAAATCTGTCAAAAAATAAAAAATAAATAAAAATAAAAACAGGCACAGAAAGTGAAATCAATAGTTTTATAGTGGAAGATCTTATTAGATCAAGAGATGGGTATGGGTTGGGTAGTGGTGTTGCACGTCTTTAATCCCAGCACTTGGGAGGCAGAGGTAGGAGGATCAAGGCCAGCCTGGTCTCTGCAGCCAGTTCCAGGACAGCCAGGGCTACACAGAGAAACCCTGTCCCCCCCCCAAAAAATACCCCAAAAAGATGGGTATGAATATCATGAACCTCTTAATATGTGATCAGGGTGATTCATCTGTAGTTCTTGTTCTTATTCCAGACTAATTATCAGAGAAACCAAAATTAACCAGTTTGGGGAACACTCTTCAGGATATCTAGACAAGATACCTCAAAGTGGCCAAATCTTGAAAGATCAGACATAAGAAAGGGGACACTGGAGAGACTGACAACTAATTGTAAGATAATACCCTGGCCAGGCAGTAGTGGAGCACGCCTTTAATCCCAGCACTCAGGAGGCAGAGACAGGCGGATCTCTGTGAGTTCAAGGCCAGCCTGGTCTACAGAGCAAGATCCAGGACAGGAAGCAAAACTACATGGAGAAACCCTGTCTCAAAAAACAAAAACAAACAAACAAAAAAAGAGAATACCATGAGGACTGGGACCTAGAAGTGAAAGATATTAATGGAAAAACTGGTGAAACCCAAATAAAATCTTTAGCTTAGTTAAGGGGAGAAAAAACAGAAAGACTCTGACCTTCCTGGGGAGGTCTGATGATAAAGCTACATACCCTAGGGAACTGAGAGATTAGTGTCAGTTGTCAAATACTTTAACATTCACACTTAATACACCAGCCTATGCTGTAGAGCAAAATCCACCTGACATTCCAACCCCACCAGAGCCCCCTCCCTTTCAGTACTTCTGGAAGAACAAATCACCTTTCAATTACTCACAATAGTGGAAAGAGTTAAGTGTTAACATGACCAAAGTTTACCTTGGTAATGTTTTTCTTTTGGGATTTCATCAATAACACCAGTTTTAAATTCCTGAATACAAGCTACCTAAATTATGCAAAAATCATACTGCTAGGAAAAAAATTCCATATGAAATATTAAAGGTTGCACCTCAAACCACCAAAGTCCAAGCGTCAAGCCTTCTGGTTGTATTGATGTAAAATCCTAGCAGTTTGCAACACAGCCAGATGATCATAGTAAAGGAAAAGCTGAAAACAAGAAATCCTTTGGAAAAATGAGGAAAACGGCTTACTAGCAGACTAGTTAAGTGTTCTGTAGGAGGGAATCTAGTATTTATTGAGTCTGGCACTCTAAGCTCATCATTGTTTGGCTGGTGATGAAGGAGAGGAGAAAACGAATTACTAAGCATCCAAACACAGCAAAACAAGCTCAAAAGCACTACATGTTTTTAAAATTCGCTTTATATTCACATTTTATAACCGAATCTGAACATACAGAAATTCAGGTATTTAGAAATCTGACCTTCAAACATTTACTACAATACAGAAGAGAAAGAAATGTAAATTTCACCTTCCGCTTCAGAAATAAAACGAGTAATCTGTTACTCAGAAGAGAACCGTACCGACAGAATATATTATTCAGGCTTGTGACTACTCAAGTGTTCATCTGAGATACGGCACTCTAGCAGACTTTCTAACAAAGCAACCCCAAAGCGAATACCAAGCCACCATGATAAAGACGACTGTGGACGGGCATCGCTTTCTAGGCGGACCGAGACAGGGATAGTCATCCCTACGTTCCTACTTCCCTTCGCCGGATGCAGACTCCTCTAGGATCTGACCAAGACGGTAAGCAAACACAACTTCCAGAGGCCTTACGGGTCTTTTAAGAATTTCTGATGACTTTCTAGTACTCCGCCAGACCACCCAGTGAGGCCTGACGTGCGACCTTTACCGTTTCCGTCCTCCCTTCCCAGTTCTCCAAGGCACGGTTAGGGGGCCTCATGGCGTTCGCGGCGGAGTGAAACCGGGCTTCTTCACACGACCCTCTCCGCGGTGGCGGCCGGGGCCCAGCAGCGTGTGCGACCTAAGAAGCCGGGTGCAGGCTAGGAGAGGCTGCAGCCTTCCAGCTGCCTCCCGGCGGCCCTCCCGACGCCCGCGGGCCCCTTGGTGCCCACAGCACACTCCTGCCCCTCGCGAGCCTCCCCCGGGCCGCGCTCACCGGCTACTAGCCCCGGGGCCTTCTCCGCGAAGTTACGGACGAACTTGGCCATCGTCTAGGGTGGAAGGTCCGTCTCCTCGAACCGCCGGCTGAATGTCACCCTCGGAAGGACCCGTGGCAGGCCCCCTGCCCGACTTCCAAGGTCAGGCTGTCCCTCTCTGTGCCTGTTCAAAATATATAGGTATCCCTTCCCTGTTTGTGGAACATAGTTGGTCAGCTTATTTTGTTAGGCACAAATAAAATGTGGATATGAAAATATGAGGTAAGAGAACATGTGGAGAATAATGAGATTCCTCGGGAAACAGGCATTGCTTGGGGCAGCCATTCATGGCGGCCCGGAAGACCGTTGAGGTGAGGAAATGCGCGTGCGTCGTTGATTTTCTTAGCTTGATCTCCTCTTTTGCTTGTGGCACTTTCGTAGTTTTTCAGAGAACGTGGAAATCGAGGCTGGAGGGAATCGTAGGATGCTTGTGGGCCGATATGTTTGTTTTAGAGAAATAGCAGGTCCGAGGCCGAATAGGAGCTTTAAGGGGCCATGTAGACGTCACATAACGCAAGTCACCAGACTCACCCAATCAACCACTTCTTTAATTGCCCTTTTATAATCCTATTTTCCTCCGCAGCTACTATTAGAATTGGAATCCAATCCCGGTTTTCCAATCAAACCACATGGAGCAATTCGGACAGGAGGAAGAAGGTCACGTGTGTGTGTGTTGAGGGTGTATACTATGCCAGGCATTTTGTAATTCAGTGAACGTTTTGGGTATTGTTCCCTTAGAGACCGAGATTCCTAAATGGTCATATAAGGAGTAAGTATCAGAATTGTAAGGTAAACTCAGAGAGGAACATAAGATTAGGCATGGTGCTGATCTGGGAAGACTTGATGTGTAAGAAAACATACAAATTCCAAAGGGTTGAAACTTTGACATGACAAAAAAAAAAAAAAAAGTAGGAAAGTGGTATTTTATGAGGACAAGAAGTTCTGGAGAAGCCAGAAGAAGTGTTGGAAGTGAAACTGATGGGATGGTTAGTTAGAAAGACAGATTAGAAGTGGGATTAAGGAGTCAAGAGCATTTTAACAAGGGAGGGATAAACTGCCTTAGATATTGATGTCAAATTAAGGCAGGAAAGATAACTGGGTGAAACCCATGTTATCTCAGCATACAGGAGCCTGAGGATTGGGAATTTCAGGCCAGTCTGGACTACAGGATAAGAACATTTATTTTTGGGGAAAGGCAAGCTAATTATCAGTATGAACATCTGTGATATTAACTAGAAATAGTTTCAAAATCACAGAAACCAGATTGCATCAGTGAGGAAATATGGTAGAGACCGTAAGTCAGACAACTCAAGGGAAATGTGGAGCTCAAGAGAAACTGAAGTTAGAGAAGGGGAATTGTCAAGAACAGGGAGACAGCGAAGAAGATAGAGGAATTAGTTTGGGAATGGTGGGACCTTTCCTTGAATGGGGTGATGGGAGCAAAGTTTCAAAGTGAGGAATCTGATGGATGCCACCTGAGTGTGAAAGGAGAGAGAATTTCAGGTGAGAGTCTAAATTTTAGAAACTTAAAAAAAAAACAACTTTTATTTGTATTTTATGAGCATTAGCGTTTTTGCCTACAGGTATGTCTGTGTCACATCCCCTGGAACAGAAGTGCTGCCATGTGGGTGCTGGGAATTGAACCCGGGTCCTCTGGCTGAGCCATCTCTCCAGTCCAATTTAGAATATCTTAAGGACACATAGAAGAGTTGCTGGGCAGTAGTAGAGTCCACAAATTTGTGGTTGTAGTACTTGCTTAGAGAAAGTGGCAAAACCCTCTAGGTTTTCAGAAGGACTTTTGAAATGTCATTAGCTTTTTCTTTTTCTTTCTGTGGTGGTGGTACTAGAAATGAATTTAGCTAGGCAAGATCTCTACCATTGAGCTACATCCCTTTTAAATTTTAGTTTGAGCCAGGCAGTGGTGGAGCACCCCAGGCAGATCTCTGTGAGTTTGAAGCCAGCCTGGTCTACAGAGTAAGTTCCAGGACAGCCAGAGCTACACAGAGAAACCCTGTCTCAAAAAACCAAAAGAAAAAAAAAATTTTTTTTAAGTTGGGCTAGTCTTGAACTCACTAGGTAGCCCAAGCAGGCCTTGCCCTTCCTTCCTCCTATTGGCTAATAGCTGGGATTACAGGCACACACCACCACACCAGGCTGCTAGCTTTTAATACTGTAATAAAGGACTAACAGAGTGGTAAGTCAGGTGCTTATTTATTAAATACAAGTTTTGAACAAACAACATCCCCAGGCAAGTTTGACAAGAAGTAACCTTCCTGGAATGTTAAACATAGTTATAGTGATCGAGTTTGATTTCAGCCAACCATTCTGTTGTTTTGTTCTTAATTTTCTGTCTCTAGGTTCTTTTCCAGTTTAGCAGTTAGGACATATGCACTGTTTCCTCACATGACAATGGTACAGCATCAGCCTGGCTTATAAAGGTACCCAGTAGTCTCAGGCTTTGCCCAATCGCTGCTCAGCAATCAGAATCAAAAAAATGTAATGAAACTTGTGTAGAGTGTGGTACTGAACAGCAAATGGCATCTTCACCTACACCATTAGACTACTTCTCAAGTTTCCTTCAATTTTCACATACCCATGGAAAGCCATATAAAACACACAAACAAACAACTGCTTGAACCCTAAATAATTTTCCAAGTTTAGTATTAGCCTTTGGGTGAGCTATCAGCAATACCAGAGCTGACTGAAGTTTTCACTTTCCTTTTGTACTCATCACAGAAAACTAGGTCTGTCAGGAGGTCTTAGCAGACTGACAGCTGCTGCTGAGTTTCAGACAAGACCCCTTACCTCTGCTAATGCACACATGCTTCTTGTTGTATAAGACAGCAGTCTCCAGAGTTCCTTTTTCTGGAGGTCTTTAAATGAGTTCACAGAAAGAAAGAAGGCACAGAGGACACTTGGTTTCCTCACCAATAGTGGCCTTAAGCTACACACTTGCTTTTGTGGTAAAAGGGTTCAGCAGCATCAGTGGTGCACAGCCATTCAGAGAAAGTATCAGAAGGGCTTAAAAACAAAACAGCATAAACTCGCCAAAAAAGGCTTACAAGCTGAAGGTTCAGTTCAGAAGTAGAGTACAGATAGACAGGAGAGGCAGCATAGAGGCCATTAGCTAGAAAGCTGCTGGGAACAGTTGTCTTCTGAGGTTCTGTACCCATTTTCCTCCAATTTTCACCTGCAAAATTCTGGTCTTTTCTCCTTTTCAAATAAAAACATCCTACCACACTAGCTTTGGGAAAATAAATGCAGTAGGCAGAAGCTTAGTTCAAATGCAGTTCATTCCCAGAGAGGGAAAGAGAATAATACACACACAGGAAATCAAATTCATTTAAAGAAAAGCAATCCTGTCGACGGGGCACATGGCGTCTATCTTAACAATCTGGCATTTGTGAGTGTGTCCTGGGCTTCCCTGTGCACAGACAAGCACAGCAACAGCTGGCATTTATTTAACAGCCAGAGTGAGAGGCCCTCTCTGATCAGAGGTTTTCTAGTTGACACCATCAGAAAATACACAAAGGACTAATAGCAACTTGTGTTGGAATACTGAAACACTGCTTCTGTCTATGAAAAGTCGTGGCTAACACTAATGTTCTTTAAAGGACATTTAATTCCATTTTCTTATCTTTTACACCTCTGGGCTGAGATTGATACTGATATAAAAATGTCCCATAGAGGACTGAGCCTCTCCTGGCATGTTAAGCAAAACGGTTGGAGAAGTGGGGTCAAACCACTTATTAAGTACCCAGAGCTAAGTGGATATTTAAAATGGCTTGTGGACCAGATTTTGCTCCAAGTTCTACTTCGTTAATTGATAAACATTTTATATTTATAGTCTTACAATTTTACCCGACTAGAATGGATATGCGAGAAGACACTGCCACATACCACATACATTTTACCACGGAGGACACAATACAATGTGGTACTCAATTCATATGAGACCAATAAAAACAGGACACAGTATCTGTGTGTATAACACACACACACACTGAGACACTGCATTGGCGTCCTAAAATAACATCTCCATAGATACACTATTTATTGCCTATTTTACCCAGGCCTAGTCCTTGGGGCACAAAATAGAAAAGGGCACCAATAGCTTCTTACTTATTCTCTTACTGGAAGTTTCACCCATTACTGTCACCCATTAAAAGACTGTGCAGCTAAGCTTTTGGTGGCGACAACCTCATGGGAGTGTTTGTGATAGTATCTTTAAGTTACAAGATAATACAAAATTAAGAGATAACCGACAGAAGTTGTATAAGGTTCTCCCAATCTTATCCATCAGCCAAAAGTCTACACACACTAAGGTATTTGCATTTATCTGAAAAGTTGCTCTGTAATATTACAGAGCTATAGTAAAGACAGGGGCTTAAGTCCAGCCCTCACCGGCTAGAAGATACACAGGGTAACAGGGTTTCTGGATACTACCAGCTGTCACTGAAGTAGCTGACATCACAGACTTAAAAGCAGTGTTCACTAAAATATGTCTGAGCGGTACTTGAGAAGGGAAAGAAAAAAGTGGCAGGACACTTTTGTAGTTGGACTTAATATAATTTAGGGTAGAAAAGGAAACAAGAGGAATAGGAAAACCAAGGCAGAAAATTAGTGATGATTTATGAAGATGTTGTGAGAAGGAGAATTTCATGAAAGTCAGGGAGACAACATGGTCTTAAGAATCTTAATTATCATAATTTGCACAAGAACAATTTTCTAATTTAGTAAAACAACAACAATGAATGAAATAAACCAAAACACAAAAACAAAACAAAGAGGAAGAAAGGAAGGAAGGAAGGAAGGAAGGAAGGAAGGAAGGAAGGAAGGAAGGAAGGAAGGAAGGAAGGACCAGAGCCAGAAAGAGAACCCACAAACAACTGTTTACATCCTGGGGCTGGTTTGGGTTGTTCAGTTCACAGTATTTATTCAAGTCTCTCCTTCTGTTGCTTCCTCTCTGCGAGCCACTGCTGGATTTTTTCTTTGAGTTCTGTGTTTGGCCGGATCTGGTCCATGGTAAGGGGACTACGGTTAAAAGGATCTGTTTGGTCACTAGGACAAGAAAAGAATGGAGAGTGAGTTACTCTGGAAAGTCCGATAGAGAACATCTAAGCATCTCGCTGCCGAGTCTCGAGCATGGCGCACTGTGACTGAGTCAGGTACTGACCTGGGGTTAGAAAGAAGGAAATGAGAGGTATGTTCTCAGCTTCCTCAGCTACCCTGTCTCTCTGCCCGTAATAAACTTTATCCAACACTGCCACTGAGATATTGATGCTATTGGGGGCTAGAGAGATGCCTTAGTGGTAAGAGCATTCACTGATCTTCCAGAGGGTCTGGATTCAATTTCCAGTACCTACATGGATTTTCACAACCATCTGTAACACCAGTTCCAAGGGAGGCAATGTCCTTTTCTGACCTCTATGGACACCAGGCACACACATGATAAGCAAAATACTCATACACATAAGTAAAATAAATAAATAAAAAAAATTTCTTAAAGAAATGCTATCTTCGAGCAGGGCGGTGGTGGTGCACACCTTTAGTCCCAGCACTTGGGAGGCAGAGCCAGGTGGATCTCTGTGAGTTCGAGGCCAGCCTGGTCTACAGAGCGAGATCCAGGACAGGCACCAAAACTACACAGAAAAACCCTGTCTTGAAAAACCAAGAAAAAAAAGAAGAAGAAGAAGAAGAAGAAGAAGAAGAAGAAGAAGAAGAAGAAGAAGAAGAAGAAGAAGAAGAAGAAGAAGAAAAGAAATGCTATCTTTGTCATCAGCTTTTAGATTTCAAGTCAGAGATCCTAGTCACTTGTGTTATCATAAATCACCATTTGTAGGTGTTTTTTTTGTTATTGTTTTTCCAGACAGAGTTTCTCTGTGTAGCCCTGGCTGTCCTAGAATTCACTCTGTAGAACAGGCTAGCCTCGAACTCAACATGCCTCTGCCTCCCAAGTGTTGGGATTAAAGGCATGCGCTGCCACCACCCTCTGGCCCCCCCGCCCCCTTTCTGAAATAGGATTTTGTTATGTTGCCCAAGTTGGCTTCCAATTCCCGGGCACCAATAACCTCTTGCCTAAATCTCCCAGGTAGCTGGGACTACAGATGAGCATTACTGAACCAGGTTCACTACTTGTAATTTGAGTGACAGATCTTGGAACAGTATAAGCTGTTACGAGATAAGGCCCTTGTAACTGACATTTGATTAAATTAGCTGATTGCTATGGAAGTCAATGCAGACTATCGTTCAGTGCTGAAGAGTATAGATCAGTGGCAGAGTGCTTGCTTAGCACACGCAAGGTTCTAGGTTTGATTTGAAGCACTACAATAAAAACCAAAGTTGGGACCAGCAATATGGCTCATTTCGTGATATAGCTTGCTGCTAAGGCTGAAGATCTGAGTTTGATCCCCAGGACCCACACGGTGGAAGAAAAGAACTAACTCCTGTAAGTTGTCTTCTTACCTCCACACTTGCAAACCACACACACAAATAAACAAATAAATAAATAATGTTATTTTAAAAAAATATAGCAAAAGAAACAAAGCAAGCTCCAAGACTGGCTAGTGATGTAGCTCAGCTAGTAGAATGCCTTCTCATATGGACATAGCCCTAAGTTGGATCTTCAGTACCACGTAAGTCATGCATGGTGGTGCACGTCTGTGATTTCAGCATTTAGGAGGGGAGACAGGATGATCAGTCATCCTCACCTACATAGCAAGTTCAAGCCTGGGCTACATGAATCTGATTCCAAAACAAAAGAAGATTCATGATATACTTTAAAGATTGATAGATCTGCTGAGTGGTGATTGTGCACATCTTTAATCCCAGCATTTGGGAGGCAGAGGCAGGAGGATCTCAGTGAGTTTGAGGTCAGCCTGGTCTACAAAGCAAGTTCCAGGACAGCCAGGGCTACACAGAGAAACCCTGTCTCCAGGAAAAGTCAAACAAACAAACAAACAAAAAACCCCAAATCGATAGATCTGAGAGCACCATGATTTTTCACTGATATTACTTAGCATAGCATCATATAGCAAAAAGCATAATACAAAATGAAACAGAAAATTCATTTTTCAATATCCTGTTCCTTAAATTTGAGTTGACTTACAGAACAGGATTTTAAATGGGTATCACGGTCTCTCAGTACCCCTTCCTATCTCACCTTACACTTAACAAGGGTAAGGGGTCAAGTCAAGCAATGGTGGCACTTGATTGATTTGCAGGAGGATCACGATTTCAAGGTCATTCCAGCTACAAAGTGAATTAAGGACAGCCTGGGAACTACATGACATCCTGTCTTAAAGGAGGGGGGCAAGCTGGATACAGTGTTGTTTTCCTAGTTATTCAGGAAGCTGAGGCAGGGAGATTGCTTGAGCTCAGGAGTTTGAGGCCAGCCTGGGCACCACAGCATGACCCTATCTCAAAAATAAATGAATAAAAAAGTTGGGGACTGTAGAGTTAGATCAGCAGTTGGGAGCACACGCTGCTCTTATAGGGAACCCAGGCTTGGTTCCCAGCACCCACATGGTGACTCGCAACCATCCATAACTCCAACTGTAGGGGATCCAACACCCACTGACTTCTGCAGACACTAGGCATACATGAACTGCACATAAGATACATACATGTAGGCAAGATACTCAAACACATAGAAGACAAAACAAAACAGCTGGCTGCAGGGGTCACAGAATAAAACTCCAGTTCCTAGCATCCCCTCCCTAACCTACAGGATACTATTCTAAAGAGAGAAGGCAGGGGCTGCGTGGGCACTGGTTGGCTTCAATTTCTCTTTGCCTGCCTGTCGTTCCTATGGACATCTATCTGCACGGTGACTGTCCAAACAGCACTCAGCCTGGTGAAGTTTATGTCACCACAAGCTACCATACCCGAGTACAAATATAGTAACTGAAGGGAATATAAAATCCCAGTTAAAAACACCAACACCTCCCCACTTTGGACATTTTTACAATTTAAATAAAATTAAAACAATTTCAGGCCAGAATATATTTCATGTTGACATATTTCATAATGTGGATAAAATTATTGCTGGACAGTGGTGGCACACGCCTTTAATCCTAGCACTTGGGAGGCAGAGGCAGGTGGATCTCTGTGAGTCTGAAGCTAGCCTGGTCTACAGAGTGAGTTCCAGGACAGCCAGGGCTACACAGGGAAACCCTGTCTGAAAACAAAAACAAAAACAAACAAACAAAAAATCCAAAACAAAAATTATTTTCTTTTGTATTTTGAGATAGGGTCTCACTATGCAGCTCTCCTGGCCTATATAACTTGCAATGTAGACCATACTAGCTTCAAAGTTAGGGCAATCCTCCTGCTTGTCTCTCAAGTGCTGGAATTCCAGGCTCCTGCCACCACACCTGGCTAAGGAGGAAAGAGGTAAGGTAAGAGCTAGTACCTCTCAATAGAGTTATCTTGTGAATCTCTAAATCTTAAACAGGTGATAAGAAGTACTACCCCAATGACTCCGTATGTACTGTACACGGTACTGTGTTAAGTGGCTGGCAAGCACACAGGAAGCTAACACAGCTGTGTTCCTGAGGCAGGTCTGTGGACGGGTATACCTGAGTAAATGCCTGGCAATGGTGGACCTGTCCACGGTGACTCTGGAAGATGGAAGCACCACAGGGTCAGACATCAGTGTACTCATGATGGGATCCAGGAACTCGTCACAGGCATCTGCATATGTCTCCTCCTCCTGCTGCTGGAGGTCTGCAAGAGACTGAGGCGACAACAGCTGGTTTCTAAAGCGAACTCAGTGCAGCTCCCAAACTGCTCAGTAACTACACCTTAATTTTGGTCATCAATAACCCTCCACAGAGACGACAGAGCTACACTTTGTTTTTTTTTCAAGAACAAGCCCAAGACCCATGTTTTAGAAGCAGAGGTAGTTCTGCTGCAGGTTGGCTCAGCTGCTGGGAGTCATGGCTGGAAGTGGATGCAAGTGTCAGCAGGAGAAAGAAGGAATACCTCTTTCTGGCAGCGTTCTGCTCTGGATGCTAGGACTTGAAAGGGGAAAGGGCAGAGGCTGGTAGTTGCATAATTACTGAGCTACTCACGCAGCCTGTTTGAAGAGCAGTTTCTGATATAAGCAGGTACAGAAATTTGATTGCCTCCAATAGCTGATCCTGTAACTCACTTCCCTAGGTCTGTGTCTGGTTGAGCCAATCAAGCTCAGCTCAAAAAAAAAAAAAAAAAAAAAAAAAAAAAAAAAAAGGCAGACACCAGTAAAGAAGGTTTGAAGGTTCTGTTTTTCTTTTCTTTTTTGGAGACACGGTTTCTCTGTGTAGCCATGGCTGTCCTGGAACTCACTCTGTAGACCAGGCTGGCCTTGAACTCAAGAGATCCACCTGCCTCTGCCTCCCAAGTGCTGGGATTAAAGGTGTGAGCCACCACTGCACGTTCTGGAAGGTTTTCTATGAGACTTCTGTGCCATGTACTTTTCCTTTCCCCCCATTTCTAATGGAGCTCTCCTACTGTCCAACTGGAAGGATTAGCTGAGGACAATAGAGTATCTTAATCTCTAAAATGCATTTCAGTATAACCCAGCCACCAATAGGAATGTGGAGAACAGGGAAAAGCAGTATAAACAGTGTTTGTGAACTACTCCTCTTGGCTCTGTTGTTATTTATTTTGAGTTGGGAGCTCATTATGTTGCCCAAGCTAGCCTTGAATTTGCAATCTTCTTGCTTCAGCTGGGTGAATGCTGGCTTATAGCTGTGTCTCGGCAAGCCTTGCCCTTCTTCCTGAATTTTATTCCAAAAAGTTCTTTTGCATTAACACTAGGTTTTCAAATCTTTCCTAATACTGGGACATAAAAGTTAGTCTAAAGACTTCACAAATGCACTTTCTTTTCATCTGTTAGACACATCTTCAATTCTGTTATTACTCTCCCTTGGAAGGGGTACTATTTAGTAAGATGGCTGTTCCCAGTTATTGACTGACTAGGAGGAAGGACCTGTTTCCAATGCCTCTAGGCAGTAACCCCTTTCTCCCTGAAATAGGGCAAAAGCAGCAGAGTTGAGGTGACAGTGTGGCATTTCTTACTGAATATATGAGAAAACAAACTGTCCTCGACCTTACCTTGATTCTCTCTGCCAAGTTACTGAAAGCCACGATCATATTCCCAGGCTTATTGATTTTCTTCAGGACTCGGACTGTCTGTGCAAAGAGAGTAGGGGAATAGGAACGGCCATCCTTGGGCACAGTGGCACAGAAATTCTCCTCATCCCTAGGAGGTCAGCATTAGAAAGAAACGGAGCATCAGAGCACAGGTCAATGTGTAGACAGCAGATGGGCTACAGAACAATCATTCCATCACGTATAGGCCACAAGTGCTCTTTTCAACTAGAAAGACATTTTATTTCTGCTGTGTATACGTGTATCTCTGTATGTGGTGTATATGTATGTGCATGTATAAGTATGTGTATGGAGGACAGAGGTCAATGTTGGGTGTCTTCCTCAATTACTCCCCACACTGTATTTTTTGAGATATGGCCTTTCACTGATCCCAGAATTCATCAGCTTGCCTAGGCTAGATAGCCAGTGAGCTCCAGGGATCCTTCTGTTTTTGCTTACCCAGTATTGGAATTACAGGTGCATGCTACCACATGTAGCTTTTTAGAAAGTGAGTGCTGGGGATCTGAACTCAGACGCTCATGTTAGTGTGGCAAGCATTTTACTGACTAAAATATCTATCTCCCTGGTTTGACATCTAATTTTCTTTCTTCTTCTTTTTTGTTTGTTTTTTTGGAGACAGAGTTTCTCTGTGTAGGGCTGGCTGTCCTGGAACTCATTCTATAGATCTGACTAGCACAGAATTCAGAGATCTGCATGCCTCTGGCAGCTAAGTATTGAGACTAAAGGTGTGTGCCACCACATCTAATTTTCTACAAGGATGTCTCTACGAAGTGTTCTATGGTCCTAAAAAATGTTTTAACAAATAGCATAACCAGTAAAGTTTATCTTTACACAGATCAAGAGAGAATGTTGGAAATCCTGAACCATGTCCCATGGACCAGATAAAATCTCTCTTCCATTTATCAGCTAGAAATGAGCCTTCCTTCCCTCACTGTTTTCACACAATAGCTAGCCAGCCATTCTGCTATCACAACATTAGCACCCCCCACAGCTTGCTCAATGCCAATCTCAGATACCCAAGATTTAAGTAGATAGTGCAGATGTCTGATACAAGCTGCTGAGGTTTGAAGTCAAATTCGCTGAAGTCCTTGACTTTGAGAGCGCCCATCTTGGGGCCAACCAGGTGCTGTAGGAAGTAGTTCAGCATGGAGATAATGCGTTCGGCCAGGAAGGGGTGCACGAACAGTGACTTGATCTCTGGAAAAAAGCCAAAGTCTCAAAACTCAACCCATCAGTAATTTTCCCCCTTATATCTCATTTCATCAGAAACCTCTGAGGATTTTAAATTACATAATACATTTTCAGTGGAGAAATCATAGACCAGCAAAACCAAAATCAAACAAGAAGGAAACAAAAGCTACTACCCACACATGAACACTGTTAAAACATTAGAAAAATATATTTTGTGTGCACCTGCATGTGTTACAGCGAGGGTGTGAAGTCAGAGGACAGCTGTGGAGTCAGTGCTCTCCTGCCACCATGTGGGTCCCAGGGCTCCAACTCAGGCTGTAAGGCTTGGTGGCAGATGCCCACATCCAGGAACCCCGCATTTTACTAGTATTTCAGAATTCCTAAATCTACCATTCATTTCTTCATCCTTTTCTCTCTTAATCTCCATCTCATTTTCTTTCTGCTCCATTTTTAAAAAAAGATTTTATTTATTTATTTACTTATTTATTTACTTATTTATTTACTTATTTATTTACTTATTTATTTACTTATTTATTTACTTATTTATTTACTTATTTATTTACTTATTTACTTACTTACTTACTTATTTACTTACTTACTTACTTACTTACTTACTTACTTATTTACTTACTTATTTACTTACTTACTTACTTACTTACTTACTTACTTACTTACTTACTTACTTACTTATTTATTTATTTACTTACTTACTTACTTACTTACTTATTTATTTATTTATTTATTTATTTATTTATTTATTTATTTATTTATTTATTTATTATGTATACAGCATATATGACTGCAGGCCAGAAGAGGGCACCAGATCTCATTACAGATGGTTGTGAGCCACCATGTGGTTGCTGGGAATTGAACTCAGGACCTCTGGAAGAGCAGTCAGTGCTCTTAACCTCTGAGCCATCTCTCCAAACTCAGGACCTCTGGAAGAGCAGTCAGTGCTCTTAATCTCTGAGCCATCTCTCCAGCCCTTTCTGCTCCATTTTAATGGGAGAACTCCTCAAATTCATTTTTTTAATCCTTTCATTGAATATTTAAAGTTTGTTTGTTTATTTTTATGTGCATTGGTGTTTTGCCTACATTTGTGTCTGTGTGAGAGTGTCAGATCCCCTGGAACTGGAGTTACAGACAGTTGTGAGCTGCCATATGGGTGCTGAGAATTGAACCCAGGTCCTCAGGAAGAGCAGCCAGTGCTCTTAGCCACTGAGCCATCTTTCCAGCCCCTATCTAAAGTTTTAAAGCTATATTTTCAATATTCAAAATGTCTTCCCTGTCCTTTGTGGCTTTTGTTCTTGCTTTGTGGCTGCCTTATCTTCTCTGATTTCTCTGACCTGATAGTTTTTAAAAGAAGCTTTAAAAAATTTTAAAATTGTAGCCAGGTGGTGGTGCACACCTTTAATCCCAGCGCCTGGGAGGCAGAGGCAGGCAGATCTGTGAGTCTGAGGCCAGCCTGGACTACAGAGTGAGTTCCAGGACAGCCAGGAGAGAAACCCTGTCTCAAAAAAAAAAAAAAAAAAAACCATGAAAAAACCATGAAAAAAACAAAACAAAAAACCCCAAAACACCAAAAAACAAACAACAAAGTTTTTAAAATCTATTTCTGTGATTCTCATTAGACAGTTCCCTTTTACTCCTGCTCACTGGCTGTTATATCACACTACATTTATTCACTGAATGAAAATTATCGGTCCTCTTCCCTCCCTCATTTGTTGTTATTTGCCCCAGGCTGTCACTATGTAGCTCAGGCTGGCCCAGGACTCACAGTCCTTCTGTTTCCATCTCCCAAGAGGATGCAAAACCATGCCTAGATTTATGTTTTTATAACACACACACACACACACACACACACACACACAATTTTACAATATGGATTTGACAAATAGAGCACACTTTAATTCTGACTACCCATATTGTAAATGTTTGATAGCTCCACTTGGCAAGTGGTTACTGAACAGGACGGTGTTGCTGTAATGAGAGTGGAAATAAGTGTCTTTTTGAAATCTACTTCGTTTAATCTGGATGGAGATATTTTCCAGAATATATGTACACATACATGAACATATATAATGAACAGTGTATATGGTACACACACACACACACACACACACACAGAGTTAATGACTAACTCATCCTAACAAAGTTTTTTGGGTATCAGGGATTGAATTTAGGGCTTTGCACACACTAAGCATGTACTCTACCACTAAGCTGCACTCCAAGCTCCTTCAAGAAACCAACTGTGTTACTAGCTTCTATTTTCTGGCATGTCAGTAATGGGCGCCATCATTCATTTTGAAGTTTCTCTGATTTGTTTCACTCTCAGATGTGGAGTTAGCGTCACCAGAGTCCAGTTTTCTTTTGGATAGGGTCTTGTGCATCCCAAAGTGTTCTGGAACTTATTATGTAGATTCGGGTAACCTCGAACTTCTGATCCTCCTGCCTCAACATCCAAAGTGCTGGGATTACAGGTGTGTGCCACCATGCAGGGTTTCATGTGGGCTAGGCAGGCACTCTACCATCTGAGCTGCAGTCCAGTCCCAGATTCTCTTTTAGCATTTAGTTGAGCTGATCCCGTAAGTGAAATAGACCTTGACCCCTGAATTTTGAGGAAACAGACCATCATGTTCTTACCTGATGTCAGGAAGGAAAGGGTACCGATTGTTTCGTTGGACATGATGTTATGGAAACGTGCCAGCTGTCCAAACATCTGCAGGCCAGCTTCTTTCTCTCGGCGGGCTTCTGGCGTCAGACTTTCCCATTCTCCTCGGTCTTTCTCGATCTGCTGAATCTTTATCTTGCTCAAATACTATGGAAACCAGAAACGTGATACAACAGATAAGAAAATGCAATTGAAGGGCCATGACATTTAAGAGGGCTTAATTAAAATCCAGTCAACTGGGTTTAGAACGGTGGCTCAATGGTTACAAACTCTCGCTGCTCTTGCAGAGGATCAGGGTTTGACTCCTAGCACCAACACTGTGGCTCATAACTACCTGGAACTGCAGTTCCAGGGTGGTCTGATGCCCTCTTCTGGCCTTCATGGGCACTGTATGCATTTGCATACATTCAAGCAAAACACTAATACACTTAAAAAAAAAAAAAAAAAAAAAAAAAAAAGCCAGGTGGTGGTGATGCATGCCTTTAATCCCAGGACTTGGGAGGCAGAGGCAGGCGGATCTCTGTAAGTTTGAGGCCAGCCTGGTCTACAGAGTGAGTTCCAGAAAAGGCACAAAGCTACACAGAGAAACCCTGTCTCAAAAAACAAAACAAAAGAAACAAAACAAACAAACAAACAAACAAACAAACAAAAAACCCCAGAGCTGCAGAAGTGGTTCAGAGGTTAAGAGGACTTGCTCTTGCACATGGCAGCCTACATCCACCTGTAATTTAGCTCCAGGAGATGCAATGGCTTCTTCTAGCCTCCCTAGACACCTGCATGCATATAGCGCACTTACATACATGCAAACTAAAACCCCATACACATAAATCTTAAAACAAAACAAAACCCAGTCAACTAAGCTGGGAAAATCAGACACCATGTAAAGGTCCTAAGCCTTTGTCAATACAAGGCTGGAGCTTAAGACCTTTTGGAGGGCCAGCGTGATGGGTCAGTGGGTTAAGGCACTGTTACCAAGGCTGAATGATGACCTGAGTTTGATGCCCAGAACCCTCCTGGTGAAAGGAGAAAACAGCCTCCCTCAAGCTGTCCTCTGACCTCCATGTGTGCATTCTAACAAGTGTACATGCATGTACACACGCACACATTAAATCTTAAAGTCCTCATAGAGATTTGTCTCAGCCTGAGTAGACTGGTAGGTAACTGTCTGGAACTAGGACACTGTCTGGAGGGGAGGGAGGACCAGTGGAGCAGCATATGGAGCCCAGGCTAAAACACCAGGCTACCAGGAAAAAGAAATCCTTCCTAAAACAAAAACACAAAATGTTCAAAACTTGCTCACGAAAAACCAAAGTCTACAAACATGCCTGATGTCTAAAATTACTTAGAATGTCATAATTACTAAAGCCCTCACCTCTCATCATCCTACAATTGCAGCAAACAATGAGTTATCCAATTTCAGGAGAATGCCATTTGTTTCACTCCCTGAATCATACTGTCCCTACTTACTGGATGTGTTTATCATAGGAACCGCTCTCATTTCCTCAGAGAACCTACGTAAGTGTCAGATGCAGGATTATGAAAAGAGCAGGAGGCCAGATCCCTCTCACAAACTAAACCCAAGTTACTTAGTGGGTTATCAACGAGAGCTCCTGACTGTCCAGTAGGCTACCCTCAAACTAAGTTGAACCTCCTCCTGGAGGTCACTGCCTGGTCATACTGATGCTTCTGCCTCCACCAGGAGATCCTGTCCAGCTACAGGGCCTTCACACACACAGTTAAGCCTACACTAAAACCATCGCAACTGTGAGCAAAAGCAATCCTTCCTTCTTTAGGCTGTTCTTCTCGGGTACTCTGCAATGAAAATCTGACAGTTGCTGACTAAATTAAGATCCTATGATTTCTTTTCACATTGCTGGCCTGTTGGTACACCTTAGTTTGGCTTTATTACACTTTAAAAAATGATTTATGTGTATGTATGTTCACCACATGTGTGCAGGAGCCTGTGGAGGTCAGTAGATGGTGTTGGATGCTCTGGAACTGGAGTTACAAGTGGTTGTGAGCTGCCATGTGGGTGCTGGGAACAGGTCCTCTGCAATAATAATAAGTGCTCTTAACCACTAAGCCATTTCTCCAGCCCCAATACCATCTTTTAAACTCTCAACCAAATAACCACCCAAGCCCATGAAGCTTCAACAATGACTCTTGACCTTGTCTCTAATGAAATGATAAGCCTAGAAAGCGGCGTACTGGCAAGAATGGGGCACACAATTACACAGACATTTTTGGTGTGCGAGACTGTTCTAAGGCAAGGATTACTCTATTATAATTAAACGGTCAAAAGAATATACTCTCTGCCACGTGTACTGGTTCATGTCTGAAACCCCAAAACTCTCAGAGGCTAAGGTGAAAGGATTCCTATGAGTTTGAGGTCAGCTTGGGATAAAGAGTGAGAGAAAACTTGTCTAAACACACACACACACACACACACACACACACACACACACACACACCCAAACCAAATCAAACACTATTATCATCACCCTACTATCACCAATGCTGATGATCTGAAGCCTTCCTCATTGACACCACTACAGATGGTATAGGAACACATACAGTTCTTTCTTTTTTACCTGTATGGCTTCATCCAAAAGGAAGATAGCATCATTCATTAACAGGTTAAGAAATCGGAGGAACAGTGGGGGATTCATAGCTTCTAAATTCTTAGAGGCATAGTCAGCCAAATCCTGTAAGTCCCAGCCCAAGAAGAAGAAGAAATTTTAGTACCAAATTACCACTTTACTGAGGCTGACCTGAAGCAACTGGTTTCATGAAAACCTCTTTTACCTTAATGCTCTCCCGGTAGCTATCTGTCCCCCACATGTATCTTAGGATGGGATACATAGGGCGGCGGTAATTAAACTTCTGTTCAAATTGATGGGGGTCCCCTAGAGTAAGGCAAGAAGGAGAAATCAGAAGGGTAGTCTAATAGAGAAGGAGCAGGAACTTATGCACATGCATTTTCTTCACTCTGAACGTCAAGGCTGCTGCCAAATCTTCTCCAGGAGTTCCCCCAGCCCATACCCCTGTGGTGCCGGGGATGAAACCTAGGCTGTAGCTATAATTACTTGCACAAGATCACATCAATAAGACTAGTAACATTCCAACAGGCAGCACTAATTGGATTCAGTGGGTTGTGGATAAAAAAAGGTGCAGACGTGAAAGGGGAAAGGGAACATGTAGGGAGTACCGGACAGAGTGTGTGTGTGTGTGTGTGTGTGGGGGGGGGGGGGGGATTGAGAGTGGCTATGATGAAGCATTCTTTACATGTATGAAACTGCTAAGGGATAAAGATATTGTATTAAAAACACACACACAACACACAAAACATAGGCCTTGCACACATTAAGCAAATGTGCTACCACTGAGCTACATCCCCAGCCTTCTCTAAGAATCCACCCCCACCCTGAGACAAGGTTTCTCTGGGTAGTCCTGGATCTCCTGGAACTCACTCTATAGACTGGGCTGGCCTTGAACTAAGAGATCCACCTGCCTCTCTCTGCCTCCCGAGTGCTGGGATTAAAGGTGTGCCTGGCTTTGACAAATATGGAGAGTTAGTTAATAAAATGCTAAATGCCTCTTTAAATGTCAACTGCATGTGTCGCCAGACGGCAGAAGTCCCCTTTAAAAAGACTCTTATACAACTGTTGAACATATCTTGCCTACTAATTCAGACAAAGTTCTGCTTAATCAAACCCAGGGGCTCAGGACTGAATAGAAAGACAGTGTTGTCTCCTGGCAATGCTTTCTTTAATTTTTTTGATACATATAGACACATTGTGGGTGTGTGTTCATACATGTTTGTGTGTGTGTCCATATATGTGTATGTGTGTGCATTTGCACATGGACATATGGAGGCTAAAGGTCGACCCCAAGTGTCTTCTTCAATTGCTCTCCACCGTGTTTTTTGTTTTTGAGACAGAGTCTTTCACTAAAATCAGAGCTCACTGATTGGCCAGATTGGATGGCCAGCGAGCCCCAGGCATGGACTGGGTGCATGTTGCTGCATCTGGCTTTTTTATCCGGGTCCTAGAGCCCGATCTCAGGTCCTCACGATTACCGTGCTTGCCAACACTGTGCAGGTGGATTTTTTTTTTTTCTGTTCTTGTTGTTTGTGTTTTTGTGAGACAGAGCTGGTGCTATGTCTTTTAGTTGTATGATACAAATAATTAAAACTTTTTGAGCATCTATATTCTCACATATAAAATGAGAACAATAAAGATAAACCTTCAGATAGACAAGGTAATGATACAGGAAAACATAAAGCACTCTGGATCAAGCCTAGTGCACAGAAAGTATTCAAGAAACGCTGGCTGACATTTCTGTGACATTCAAAAGTGACCAAGCTGTGAAACTTAGTTCTCAGCTGTAGAGCTGGTCACAGGACTTCTTTACCTGTAAATTCAATGTCCACGAAAACCTTGATTAGGGCTTCTGAAAGCTGGGGAGCATATGTAAAGTTGCAGAACACACGTTTCCGGTGAAACACACTGGACACCAAGGGATTTGGGGTCTGATCCAAGTGAGGCATCACGGCTTCCAGCACCTCCGCTAGTTTGGCCCTTAGGTGGGGATTCTTCATTCTGCAGAGGGCAGGAAGCAAGATGAGCAAGAGAATTTGATTCCCCAGTATGATCCCATTCCACACAAGGAGCCAGGCCATGCTCTATCATATCACATACATAAAAAGTCACCCTGTTTCAAGTCTGTCAGTACTTGGCGGATGCAGGCTACACCATTTAACATGTTGTCTGAGATGGTTTTACTATGCATGTAGTCCTGGCTGTCCTGGAACTCCCTATTGAGACTAGGCTGGCCTTGAACCGGTGGCAGTCTTCCTATCTCCGCCTCCTGAGTGCTGGGATTATAGAAGAGCACTATTATGCACTTTTGACTCTTGAGGGGACAGCTTACCATGTATGAGGGAGCACTTTGGTTTCCATGTAAAGCTTAGACATTCGATTTTCTTCTCTACATCAACGTACTATCTACTATGTACTATTCTCTGACCGATTCATCTTGAATAAATTTGCCTTCCCAAGCTTACTGAAGGCAAAGGTTAGGTTATAATTATCGTATAGCACCCATACTCCCAACCTGTGTGTCTAATCAATGCTTGTTGGCTTCTGACTTCCCTTTGGGTCTGCCCAGCTCAGTGAAGGTTGGCTTCTATAATCTGATGTCCCTTAGAGAATTGTGGACTTTTTATTTTGCAGCAAATGTGCCCTTTTGTACACAGAAATTGTTTCCTTTGGCCTACATACATAACCCCAACCCCCAACCCAACCCCAGATAAAAATATCAGGGAAGCAGTTCTAAAAACCATAGTATCCCTGTGTCAGAGCAAAGGCTAGAAGTAACATGAACCTAGGTTTACCACTTATGCAACTCAAGGTGCCGGAGCAAGCTTTGGTTCACATAATTAGTGAAGAATTTAGCACTTGGCTGCCACTGGTATGGCCTCTGGTATTCTGGTTAACTATTTTAACCAGGGACCAGCAGTGGAATTCCCACCAGGCACTTTATATTCAGGTTCAAATTCTCTGTAGGCAGAGTCCTCTGCTTATTAAGTCTCACCACGGCAGGCAGAATATTTTGTAGCTCTAATACTGATGGGGCAAACTTCCAGCACATCACCTTTCTACGCTTCCAGTGAAAATGGTGATAAAGTGAAGGACATGCTCCAGGGAATCTGCTGATGTCTCCAAGATGTCCTCAGCAAAGCGCCGGAGAAAAATGAGGAAATCACCCAGGTTATCTGCAAAAAATTCTGAAAAAGATTTGCTAGAATTAGCCAAATAGCTGTTCATTGGTCCCAAACAACATCCCAGTCCCTCCCTTCACATTAATTAACGAAGGTTTAAAAAACCCAAAAGTCTTTTGGACTTTTATCACCATCTAAATACCAGAGATGGTGGTAAGTTACTAACTGTGGGATCTCTTACATGTGCATCAAGCTTTATTTTTATCTGAGTAGAAACATGAACAGTAGTGACACAAAATATTGCTAACACTAGCATGCTGTGCCCCAAAGGCCAGTCACAATTTAAGCCACACTTTAGGTGTGGCTAATTACACCAGGTGACTGCAGCAAGGAGCTCCAGGGTGGTCCTCCAAGCATCCCCCCCCTTCTGGCACTCATACTTTGGCAAAGTCCCTTTCTGCATTATTCTAGGAGATGCCCTGATTAGAGTACATCATTTTCAAGGTTAATTATCACCTTGCAGCTTTTGTTTTGGTCACCTGTGCTGGCACACCATGAGTAGTACTAAGGGGTGTGTGGGGCCACTGGCAAGTAGCTGAGGCCTGTTGACAGCCACATGACTGGACTTGTAAGTGGATCCTCCAGCTCCTGTTGGGTGCTCAGAGTCCTGTGGCTCTGACTGACAGCTGGTCACAAACTCATTAGTACTCTGAGCTAGGATCACACAGTCAAGTGTTCCTGGATTTCTGATCCAGAGAGCTATGTGTGATAATGTCTGTTGTCTTAAATTGCTATGTTTGGGGGGAAGTAACTTGTTACATAGCCATGCAAGACCAGTACAGTATTCAAGAACATTTAATTTGATTAGTGAGCAATATCTACTGACCCCTCACTGACATACATACATACAATCCCCCTTCTGAGTTAACTAACAAGAGGTGGTTTATTTTTTTTCTAAAAGAGCTCAGGGAGAGTTAGACAGACAAATTCTAAGTTTGAAAGACAAACAATATTAATGTCAGAATCTAAGAGCCGTGAAAACTGACTACAGCTCATCTTTTGAAGGTTGTTTTCTGACTGTCACAACACTGGAGACAGACACACAGCAGGGGAAACAACGTTAGTGCCCCCATGCTTTGGACAGGAGATGTTATTTGCGAGTTTGAGTACTTTCTCTAAAAACAATGGGATGATAACTAAGGACGGGTATTTTGAGGATTAAGCTTCCAAGGTGACCCAGTTAAACTTAGGTGACTATTAATAGTATGTTCCCAAGGGACAGGCTGCTTACCTGGCACATAAGCCAAAGAGTTGTAGCCATCTGGCAAAGGAAAACTTAGCTCTATTGGCTGTGAGCCCTCATTGCCTATGGCCAGTTGAACCAACAGAACAGCCATGGACACCTGCAAATTCAGGCAGTTTTGCAGCATCTGGGGCTCAGTCATAGCAGTCTTGGTAGAAAGATAGATGGTCATCAGGCGTTCAAACTGCTCACGGAGACTGTCAGCAGCAGGGCTGGAACTCTGCTGAGCATCCCGCCAGGCAACCTGCAGCCGATGCAGATTTTGGTTGATTTTTACCATCTGATCATGCAACCTGCCCCCAAGAAAGCAGAAGAGACCGGTCAGGGAGGCTCATGTGGGGCAGTGTAGTATAGACTACGCTGGCAAGCAAATCCTCGTTTGGTTATTCTAGTATTCTAAGGTTGTGGACAGTTGTAGGCACAATGACACGGAAGGCACTCACAAAAGTCACTGACTGGACAGAAGCAAGGTGCACTGCTCTGGGAAAATGTTACTATGTACTCTGAATGAGCAGGGTGCAGAGTGAGCTGTTATTACTGAAGACAGTCATTTTAACAAGGCAGAGTATGAGCAGCCCGGCATAAGCTTTAGGGGACACAGGTGGGGCCAGTGGGTGATCTTTGCACAGTTAGAAAACTGAGCAGACAAAAAACAAGTCTTGATTATAACGACCACACATAAAGCATCCATCACTTGAAAGGAAGACCTAGAAAAGCTACTGATAACTGCTTCTACATCTACAGTCCTAAATCAGCCCCGTGCTGCTTCTGTTGTTATTTGTTTTTGTTTTTTTCAAGACAGGCCATTGGAACTCACTCTGCAGACCAGGATGGGCTCAAACTCAGAGATCCACCTGCCTCTGCCTCCCAAGGGCTGGGATTAAAGGTGTGCACCACCACCCTCCTGCCTCACTCCCTTTGCTCTTGTGGACAGTGACTAGTGTTACTGACTGGAAACTAGATGCTTGGCATCTAGACTGAATCTAGACTGTCAAGCAGATTGAGTAGCTCAACACATGCTCAACTTCTGTCATCACATTTAAAATGTCAACATCAGGTTAGAAAAACTATCTAACCAAGATATATTTTCTTTTTTTTCCTCCAGTAATTTGTTGCTGGAGTTTTGAAAAAAAAAAAAAATGCCTTAAGTACTGAGAAGGCATTAAAAAAAAAATCAGTATTCCAGGCCAGGCGTGTGATGCACGCCTTTAATCCCAGCACTCAGGAGGCAAAGGCAGGTGGATCTCTGAGTCTGAGGCCAGCTTGGTCTACAGAGCAAATTCCAGGACAGCCAGGGCTACACAGAGAAACCCTGTCTTGAAAAAACAAACAAACAAAGAAACAAAAATTAGTGTTACTGGGATTTGGGGAGCTGGCTCAGTTGGGAAAGTGCTTGTAGTGAAAGTATGAGAACTGAATTCAGATCCCCAGATCCCATGTAAAAGCTGAGTCTGGTGGTATGCTCCTGCAGTCCTAATGCTGGGCACACAGAGACAGGAGGACGCCTGGAGTCTTGCTGAGTCAGTGAGTTCCAGGTTCAGTGAAAGATCGTTCCTCAAAAAGATATGGTGGGGAGTGACTGAGAAAGCCGCCTAGCACCAACCCCTGGCGTCTACATCACACATGAGCATGTGTATTCTGTCCCCCACTCCAAGTAAAAACAAAATCGGTATTCATAATACTCTTTCTATAGATCAGAAATACGAGTAAGCTGTCATCTCTCCCCCCTTATACTGGCAATCATTCTCAGCTAAGTAAGGGGGAAACGGTAGAGTGACATGTAGCTGGCTTGCTAGAAATGGACCCTCTTGGAACTTCTATACACAAGTTCTCAACCTTCCCATTTTTAGAATCCTTTCTCTTAGGCTCACAGCTCTTTTGTGGTCATATTGGTCTTACTGGAATTCCTTATCATCATTCTCTCAATTTTTTTCAGTTTTGTCTCTTGGTCTTTTGGTATCACAAGTAATAAGAATTCAAGAATAGAACGTGAAATGTAAAATGAAAATAATTTGATTTTCCTAGATAACAGAAAGATAGGAATTGAAAATTTGGCAAAATGTGGAGAAAAATAGTAGCACGTTGTTAATTTTTAAAAATAGATTAAAAACTGTACAAAGTAATCTGTACAAAGTGGCCTCAGGTAAATTTAAAGCAACACACACGAGTTCTTTCCTTCTGCCATGCTAACATGAGTCTTAGACTCACTGTCAACTTTGAGCTGTCAACACAATTCCTAGTTCTTTCCAAACAGTTCCTTCCCAATAACATCAAAGGAGTTACCTGTGAAATCCCAAGAACAAGGTATACTCTGTCAGGGCCAGGTTCTCCGTCACAAGGTTGTAGCTCTGAGGGAACACTGGCTCCTGCACAGCTGGGATCAAACAGGTCTCTCTGTCCAAACCTCGAGGAAGTGGAAAGAAAGACGGTGATGGCTCGACACTCGTCTGTCGTGGTCTTCAGCCTCCCCTGACTTTTGCTCAGCGCCCATACTGCTACAATGCTATCTTCCTCACAACACATCTCCTACGACTTCCTTGTCTAAAAACACTTTCTGGCTTCTTGCTATCCACAGAAATAGTTAAATCTCTCGCTGAACCAACGAAATCAGCAAACACTAAAACGAGTGGTAATACTGTATTTTTTCAAGGTGATAGGCAATGGACCATTTCTACTTATTCTATGTTTTTCTGTGTTCAAGCTGAATGACTTTGGTGCAGATCTTAGTTTTATAATTATAAGAGGATTTAAAAAAAAGCCTAGAAGGAAATCCATCAAAACTGAGGAGAGATTCATTCTGAGTGACAGAATCAGGGCTGATTCATTTTCTTCATTTTCACTTCTCTGTGTTATTCAAGTTTTCTCCAGCCTGGTGTCAACTTTCTTCCTTCCCACTTCCCACCTCTTACTCTTCATTCCCCTTGCTCTAACTACATGGAACTTCTTACTATTCCTCAATAAAGACCTTCCACAGATTTTTTTTTCTAGACAACTTCCAAGTCAGAGACCTGCCTGCCTCTGCCTCTCAAGTGCTCGGATCAAAGGCATGCACCATCACGCCCCACTGCTTCTTCCAGACTTTCCCCTGTTCGTGTCCTGCCAGACACTCCTGCTCCTTTGCCTGCTAAGCCCTGAGGTGCCCTGAGGTGTCTTGCAAGACGCAGCCATGAAGAAGGCCCCAGCAGCTTCTGCAGAGCTGGTCCCTCCCTCCTTCCTGCTCTGCTGTCACCATGTCAACCTGTCTGTCCTCTGAGTTCAAAAACTATGGCAGCTGTGGTCTACTGGATTTCTATAAAAGATGAGGGAGTGAGTATCCACGGTTGTCAAAACAGACAGAAGGTCTCACCAAGGCCTGACTTTTAAAAGATGACAGTTGTTTTTAAAAACCCGTGTTTAAAATCATTTCACTAGCTCGCCAGTGTGCCTCATCTGTTTTGAACAAGAGGCACTTTCTCAAAGGCTAAGGGAGCAAATGCTTTAGAGGTGACGCACACATTCACTGTTTTGAAAAGCCCAGTCCCCGCCTACCTCTCATGTGTACATTTTTCATTTTTCGTTCTTCATCATTCAACTCTTTCAGGACACAGTATGAGGGATTAAAAGTGAGGAGCCGAGAGGACCTGGGTTTGCAGAATGGCTGGCACAGCTTCAGGAGAGCAGCACCCAGATTCAGAAAGAAGGCATCTGAGGCATACATTTGGAAGAAGATTTCGGGCATCTGATTGGCCCAGATCTTGGTGCGGCCTGCATTTGCATGCAAACAGTTTCCAAGCCAGAACAAGATACAGTGCTTGGTTTCTGGAGAGAGCTGGAGCAAGTTCTTCAGCATCTGGTAGATCTTTTCATGGAACTGAGCCATGAACTGTTTAACCAGAAAACACAACCACAGAACATTCCAATTTCACAATCCTGGTATTTTCTTTTTTCACTCCTAAACCCTAGCAAATACAAATTTCTAAAAATATGCTAATCTTAATCTTTTCCTTCACTCTTTTCCAACCTTATTTTCTGATTCTGATTTTTAAAAATATATGTATTTTTGGGTACTTTTGAGACATTTTCTGGTCAGCTGCCAAATTGCAGAAAGTTGTATAGGTTTTACATTTGGGATCTTTCTGTAAGGTGTTAATGATAAATTCTCTGGCTCTGTTTGTCATAGTTCTCATAGCAATTATTCAACTCTGCTGTAGAATGAAACTGAGCCATAAACAATACAAATAGACATGGTTACAATCAATAAGTATTTTTAATTTTTATATTATATTTATTTAGTGTTAACGTATTTAGTATGTGGGAGGGGCATGCAATTGAGCATCACGTGTGAGGATGTTTGGGAGCAGGTTCTCTTTCCACTATGTGGGTCCTGGGAGCTGTACTCAAATCATCAGGCTGGATGACAGGCATCTTTACTGAGCCACTGAGGGATCTCATTGGCCACAGTAAATCTTACACAAAACAAAACAAAAAAACATGGGCAGCTGGATTTGGCTACTGTCACCTGCTGAACACCTGCCTGACAGCATCGTGAGGATTAGATAGTAAATGGAACACTTAAACTGCCCAGTCAGCCATCCAATGCCCCACAGCCAGCCATCTAATACCCCACAAAGTCAGACTTTGCTAAGTTTTATGTTAAGAGGTCTATACATAAAGAGAAGGACAAGGGACAAAGAGATTTATAAGATGGAAAGGTTTCATGAGTCAAGTGACAATAACTGTCTTGGCAAGAAGGGCAAGGACTGAAGGGGATGTGACAGTACTGTCACATATGGCAGGTTCTATATAATCTACAATTTTATTCTCACCCAACACTGAAGCCCATCCTCTCCTCAAAGTGAAGGGTATGGGGTGCGTTTAGGGTGGCTCAGAGGTTAAGAGCACTGACTGCTCTTCCAGAGGTCCTGAGTTCAATTCCCAGCACCCACATGGTGGCTCACAACCACCTGTAATGAGATCTGGCGCCCTCTTCTGTGTACATAATAAACAAATAAATCTTTAAAAAAAAAAGTGAAGGGTATGAAGAGGGAGATTTTGTTTTGTTTTTTTTTTTTTTTTTTTTTGGTTTTTTGAGACAGGGTTTCTCTGTGTAGCTTTGCGCCTTTTCCTGGAACTCACTTGGTAGCCCAGGCTGGCCTCGAACTCACAGAGATCCGCCTGGCTCTGCCTCCCGAGTGCTGGGATTAAAGGCGTGCGCCACCACCGCCCGGCTTTGTTTTGTTTTTTGAGACAGGGTTTCTCTGGGTAGCCCTGGCTATCCTAGAACTCGCTCTGTAGCCCAGGCTGGCCTTAAACTCAGAGACCCACCTGCCTCTGCCTCCCGAGTGCTGGGATTAAAGGTGTGTGCACCAAGAGTGATTTCTTGGCTTCCTTCATTTTGAGATAGGCTCTTCTATAGTGCAGGTTTGTCTAGTACTTACTATGTAGCTCAGGATGGTTCTGAACTCCTAATCCTCAGACTCTATTTCATAAGTGCTAGGATTACAAGCCACCCTATCCCTCCCAATAAGGCGGCAATTTCGTCGTGTTATTATGACAAAAGCCAACCAATTTGCTTTCCCAAAGAGGCTGAAGCAGCCTTATCCTACATGGTTCCTGAGGAAATGCTCATCTCAAATCTGGGGGCTGTAACACCCTGGGAAACAGTTCCACCTGATGAATGTTGGCCTCTTGTACTTTGATCTCCTGAGGACTGGAACGAGATGGATTCAGAAAGTAGCCATGATTTTCTACTACACCCGGAGTCTTTAACAAGCACGAGATATTCAGAATTACTCCCAGCAAGGTCTTCTGATACATCTGCCCATTGCTAGGATCCTTGGGCTGAATGTATTCTAAAAAAACCTGTAGGAAAGGACAAAACCTACTTATTCATCTGTATGGTGAGATAAAGGGGATGAGCTGCAAGGGTCTCAATACAATCAACCCATATACATATACATACATGTATGTACGTATGTATATGTATACATACACATACTTTTTTCTTTATAAAGATTTATTTATTTAGTTTATGTATATCAGTGTTCTATTTGCATGTATGTCTGCATGACACGGAGAGCATTAGACAGAAGAGGCCATCAGATCCCATTATAGATGGTTGTGAGCCTCCATGTGGGTGCTCAGAATTGAACTCAGGACCTCTGGAAGAGCAGCCAGTGGGCTTAACCACTTAGCCACCTCTACAGCCCTTCTGTTTTCTTTTTTCTTTTTCCCCAAGACAGGATTTCTTTGTGTAGCCCTGGCTGTCCTGAAACTTGCTCTGTAGACCAGGCTGGCTTCGAACTTTGAGATCCACCTACCTCTGCCTCCTGAGTGCTGGGATTAAAGGCATGTGCCACCACTGCCTGCCTCTCTTTTTTCCTTCTCTTTTTTCTTTCTTTTTTTTTTTTTTTTTTTTTGGTTTTTTGAGACAGGGTTTCTCTGTGTAGCTTTGTGCCTTTCCTGGAACTCACTTGGTAGTCCAGGCTGGCCTCGAACTCACAGAGATCCGCCTGGCTCTGCCTCCTGAGTGCTGGGATTAAAGGCGTGCGCCACCACCGCCCGGCCTCTTTTTTCTTTCTAAAGGCCAGGTGTTATAAAAGCCAGGCCAGCCTCAAATTACAAGAAAAAAATGTAAACTTTAATTTATTTGTGTGCCTGTATGTGCGTACCACAGGCACAGTGTGGAGGTCAGAGGACAACTTGTGTGTGGGAGTTGGTTCTCTTCTTTGCTTCTTTCCCCATGTGGGTTCTGGGGATCCAGTGTAGGTCTTCAGGCTTTCTAGCAAGTGGCTTTACCCACTGAGCCATCCCACCAGCCCTGTCCTGAGGGCCTCAGATTCACACTGTAGCTGAGGATAACGTTGATCCTCCTGCCTCCACTTCCTAAGTGCTAGGATTCCAGGCACATGATACCATATCTGGCTTTCTCTGGGCAATGTGAGAGTGCTGTCAGGACAGGAAGCACCAAGTACCACGTTGTCAGCACTATGAGCAGAGGGTGCCTTTGAGACCTACCTTGGCCATATCCTTTTGCCTAGTGAAATAGAGAAGAATATCCAGATATGCATATAGTAGGGTCTGGCAGAGCTCCAGATCTTTTATTCGGCCTAGTAAAATATCAAACACTGGAATCATGACTTCAGGAAATGTTCGAACTTCCTCATCCAACAGCAAGGCTTCGATGACTTCTTCTAAAAACTCAGTTACATCTTCAAAATCTAACAGAAGACAGATGAGAAAGGAAGGAGGCCATGTCAGTTTTTATGTCTGTATACACTGTTTCACGTTCTCTCCGTCTGTCTGTCTCTGTTGTGGTACAGGAAATGAATCAAAGGCCTGGTGAATGTCAGGCAAGTGTTCCACTAGCGCTTGACCAATGAGCTGTGTACCCACTTCCAAACACTGGCTCTCTATGATTTACTTACTTTTACTTATGTGTGTGGGTGTTCTGCCTGCCTGTATGCCTGTGTGCCAAGTGCATGCAGTGCCTGTGGAGGCCAGAAGAGGGCAGTGGATCTGCCTGGAACTGGAGTTACACATAGTTGTGAGCCACCATGTGGGTGCTGAGAATTGAACCTGGGTCCTCTGGAAAAGCAGCTAGAAGTGCTCTTAACTTTTGAGGCATCTCTCCAGCCCCTCTATGATATTTTTTAGAATTCTGATGGTTTGAGGCCTAAAGATCAAGGTGTAAGCTGTCTTCCTTAATTTCTATCAGAATCATAATGGCTCTAAGACTCTAAAACCATTAGAGGAGTTTTTCTTTATTTTCGGTTTTTTGAGACACGGTTTGTCTTTGTAGTTTTGGTTCCTGTCCTGGAACTCCCTCTGTAGCCCAGGCTGGCCTCAAACTCACAGAGATCCGCCTGGCTCTGCCTCCCGAGTGCTGGGATTGAAGGTGCCCAGCTTAGCGGTGTTTTAAGGAGTTTTAAATTGGTATTCTAAATGTAGATGTTGAAAGACCTTCCTTTTATACTCACGGGCTCCCTGAATGGCTTCTAACATCAAATCTACCAGTTGCTCGTGGATGTTTTGGTCAACATAGATCTCTGGGGTGAGGAGAACTGTTCGAGTGTTGGACACAGTGAGGTTCCTGCACTGTACTGCAAAAGGGAGCAGGTTCTCTGGAACTTTGGTAATCTACAACACAGAGAGAAAAGCACACAGTTTTCTATAACATGGAGCAAGGGTGGGTACAGTAAAGAGAATGGAACACACATCACGTCCCCAAACAGTATTGATTTCTTTCTTCTTTTTTTGTTTTTGTTTTTGTTTTTTTGAGACAGGATTTCTCTGTGTAGTTCTGGCTGTCCTGCTCTGTAGATCAGGCTGGCCTGAAATTCAGAGACTCACCTGCCTATGCCTGGGATTAAAGGTGTATGCCACCACTGTCTGGCAGTATTGGTTTCTTGGGGACTGGAAATTCATGACGGACTTGTTCTTTGGCTTAAAAGATCACCTGATAAAATTCTAATCCTGAAGATGTCAAGTTTAGCCCAATTCAGGATTTTCATTCACTGGAAATGCTGTTAGCAGAGAAGGGTTTTGCTTGGTTTATGTTGTTTTATTTCAGTCTCACTATGTACTGTAGGCTGGCCTGGAACTCACTGTGTAGACATGGAGACCAGGCTGGCTCTGAACTTGTAGCAATATTTGTGCCTGTGCCTGATCAGGTATGTGACTGATCAGGTGTTTAGTCTTTTTTTTTTTTTTTTTGGTTTTTTCGAGACAGGGTTTCTCTGTGTAGCTTTGCGCCTTTCCTGGAACTCACTTGGTAGTCCAGGCTGGCCTCGAACTCACAGAGATCCGCCTGGCTCTGCCTCCCGAGTGCTGGGATTAAAGGCGTGCGCCACCACCGCCCGGCTAGTCTTTTTTTTTTTTTAAGGGTGTGATTTCTAGAGAGTTATAGAGAGAATAAGAGGCACTGGTTAACTGGGAAGAGAGATGGAACCCAAGCCACAGAAAGACTAAGGCTTTATGGCAATCTCATAGTGCTATGAATACTCTGTTCCAGATATGCCATGATATACATATATATTATGACATGAAAGACATTGATCCAACCCTCACTCACATGCTAAAGTTACTCAAGAGGATAATCTAAAACTCCATGGGGCTTATTCCTTTACCTCTTCCTTGGCTCTTTGGAAGCAGGAGTAAAGGTAACAAAAGATGTGCCTTTCCCCTGCATCTCGATCAGCAGAGAGATTTAACGTTGTAGAAGAAGTCATGCTGATCAAGTGGTTTCCTGGATCTTGAAGCAATAACCGGGCAAAGATGGCCTATTAACAAAAATCAACACAAATACAATCCATTGCAAGGTACATCCTAGAACATTAAGATATTATATACATAGTTATTATAAAGCAAGACTCAGGTGTCTGGGATAGTCAGCAAATTGTCACTTATTGAATGGTGTTAAGAACCAGGGATGAGGGGTCGGGGATTTAGCTCAGTGGTAGAGCGCTTGGGTTCGGTCCTCAGCTCCGGGGCGGGGGTGGGGTGGGGGGGGACGACAGGGTGTGTATGTGGGGGGAAGAACCAGGGACAAAACATGTGAAATCTACTTTTCTGATTGCTTTAACTGTGAAAGGTAAATGCCAAGTTATCAGTCTTCCCTCTCAATTGTACTGTTTTTTTTGAGACAGGGTTTCTCTGTGTAGCCTCTCTGCAGACAGACTTGCTCTGCAGACCACTCAATTTTTTTAAACATTTATTATTATTTTTAATTATGTGTATCTGTGTGGATATATGCACATGACTGAAGGCACTCATCGTAGTCAGAGGCATTGGTTCCCCAGGAACTGGAGTTACAGGCAGCTGTGAGCCATATGATGTGGGTACTGGGAACTGAACTTGGGTCCTCTAAGAGCAGTGCATGCTCTTAACAGCTGAGCCATCTCTCTAGGCTCCTTATTGTTTTTTGAAACAGGGTTTCTCCTGTAACCCTGGCTGTCCTGAAACTCATTATGTAGGCCAGGCTGGCCTTCAATTCAGAGCTCTGCCTGCCTCTGACTCTCAAAGCCGGGATTAAACGTATCTGCCATCATGCCCAGCTGTTAATCAGTTTTTCAAAGGCACAGTACGCTTATTATGGGCTCTGATACCCTGGGAAACAGTTCTACCTAATGGACGATGGCTTTCTGGACTTGATCTCCTGAGGGCTAGAATGAGGCTAGGGGAGGGCACTGGGTGTCCTGCTCTGTCGCTCTCCACCTCATTCCCGAGCTCTCACTAAACCTGGAGCTCACCATTTTTCAGCTCAGCTGGATGGCCAACAAGTCCCCAGAGGTCCTCTTCTCTCTACCCCTCTCCTTTGTTGTCCCACATGGCCAGTCAGTCTCATGTGGGTGCTGGGGAGTCAGACCTGCTTGTGAACCATCTCCCTAACCTGATTTTGATTTTTTTGAGAGTGAAAGTATGTAAGAAAGAGATGGGCCTTGTCTAATAGGAGTGATAGGACAGGTTCAATAAAAAGCCACAAGAGACAGTGACAGTTCCCATAAGAAATGGATAAGATAAGGAACTCGGAGGAGGGAATGATAACTCTTTTCTGGCAACTATGAAGGCATTTTAACTGGTTCTTTTTTTTTTGTTTGTTTTTGTTTTTGTTTTTCGAGACAAGGTTTCTCTGTGTAGTTTTGGTGCCTGTCTTGGATCTCACTCTGTAGACCAGGCTGGCCTCGAACTCAGAGAGATCCGCCTGTCTCTGCCTCCAGAGTGCTGGGATTAAAGGCACGCGCCACCGCCGCCCGGCTTTAACTGGTTCTTAAACAATGTGTGGATCCTGATGTGTGGCCAGAGAGGAATACACACACAGTGGAAGAGGTGGAAGCAAGCCAAGTCGTGTCTGGAGAATGACCGGGATTTAGCAGCGCGGCTGTGGTCTGCACATAATCAGGAGTGGTACCTGCTCAACATTGCTCATATCAAGCCAGTCTTGATCTTCCAGCTCTACTGCCATTTCTTCCAAGTACACACACCGGCTGGGGATGCCATTCCCGCTTTTCAAGTTTGGATCACCTGTGAAACAGTTTTTCATCTGATAGGTTAAGGGTAATGTCTCTGTCCCCATGACACTGCTTTGTCTTGTTTTCCTTTTCTGAGACCGGGTCTTGCTATGTTGCCTAGGCTAGCCCTTAACTTCTAGGCTCAAGCGGTCCCTCCTGCCTCCGCCTCGCCAGTACTGGAGACCAAAGGCGTGTACAGCTGTGCTCAGCTTACAACAACTGATCCTGATAGCAAGTCTCTTGAACTCAGGAATACTAGAGTGATCTTGATACATAAAGTAGTTAGAGAGCATGGACTGTTATGAACCCTCAGTACGACATTTCGGAAGAAAATTCCAGATACCAGCATTAACTTTAGGGTTGAATTACGGATAGGGCACACAGGTAAGACATGTCTGAACCTCTCAGCATCCATGTAAGAAGAAATGGAGTTAGCTACTCTTTTTACTTCCTTTTAAAAGTAGTACAGACATGTAGTTACACAGCCCAGTCAGCACCAAAATGGCAACAGAGGTTAGATTTGTAGAAATACTGTTTGTTTGTTTTTTGAGATAAGGTTTCCCTGTGTAGCCCTGGCTATCCTGGAACTCACTCTGTAGCTCAGGCTGGCCTTGAACTCAGAGATCCACCTGCCTCCCGAGTGCTGGGATGAAAAGTGTGTGCCACCATTGCCTGGCTGAAATACTGTTTTTAAGCTTTTAAAATACTGTTTTTATTTTTTAAACTTACTGAAATAAACCCTGTGCTCCATTAGACACAGCAGTTTTCTAAGAGCCCAAGGAGTCCCTCGCCTAAGCCAGGATGGAAGAACAGACAACCAATTGGAGGGTGCAAGTCTGCAACTCACTGTTGTCCAGAGTAATGAGGAAGATCCTTTGGATCATGTGATTGATGTTGAGTTGCTCACATATTTCTTGCTGTGACCGGAAGGAGCGGCTAATCTCAGACACAGAGTAGTCAAATTCGTCCAGGCTCTCTGACACACTATTATCGGAGTCATCTGGGCTTCCTGGGAGCTCATCTGCCGGAACACATAAGCCGTTACACAGTGTGCTCCTCCCTTAGAACAAAACACACCACCTAGAATGAGTGTAACCACCAGGAGGACAAGTGCAGGTGTGGAACAAATCATCCATCTCATTAGTGAGCAACTCAAGCCAGGCAAGTGAAGTGCAGGAGTCTGAAATCCGGCTATAAATCTTGTCTTCTATACAGTAAGCTTCATCACTTCCACCCATAATCGTACCCCACTGTGACAAAATTAGCAACATTACCTAACTTCCTTAGAGAAAAAATAACTACCAAATAGATCGAATGACAGTAATTATTTTAAATGTATGGCCTTTCCCTGGAGAATACAGTAGTTGTGGTAATTTTACACTCAGGAATCTATCCTGTAGAAGGGCTGCTCAAACCAGTACCCTATAGATAGCTGCTTAATCTGCAGTGCTCCAGACTCCTGTGCTAATGTTCATTACCATTGTTTCTTATTTAAAAAACGGATGTGCTTTTCAGCTGCCTTTCTTTCCTTGTCTCTTTGATGTTGGTTTTTGTGTGCGGGGAACGTGTGTCAGTGTGCACTTGGAGGTCAGAGGACAGCCTGTAGCAACACCAATTTTCTCCTCCTTCTTTGTGGGTCTTGGGCACTGAACTCAGGTCATCAGACCAGGTGGCAGGCACCTTTACCTGCTGAGCCATCTCATGAGGATCACTGTTTTAAAGATGTGTGTAAAATGATGTGTACGTATGCACTCTGTGTGGGAATGTGCATGCTGAGCCATCTCTCCATCTTTTTTTGTTGTTGTTTAATGACAGATCTGTACCACACTTTAAAACATTTTTTTTTTTTTTTTACCATTTACTTATTTTTGTATGTGTGTATGTTTATGTGCCATGACATGCATTTGGAGATCACAGAACAACCTGGGGAAGTCCTTTTTCTCCATCCACCATGTGGATTCCAAGGACTGAACTCAGGTCATCAGAACTGGAAGCAAGTGCCTTTACCACTGAGCCGTCTTAACTGGCTTCACACACACACACACACACACACACACACACACACACACACACACATGTATTTTGTCTATATGTAGGCTTGCACACCAGAAAGCATCAGATCCCATGGTACTAGTCACAGATGATTGTGAGCTGCCATGCGGGTGCTAGGAATTGAACTCAGGACCTCTGGAAGAGAAGCCAGTGCTCTTAACCACTGGGTCATCTCTAGCTTCTCAACTGGCTTTAAAAAATTATTTATTTTTGTTTGTTATAGGTGTTTTGTCTGGATGTATATATGTGCAATGTGTGTGTGCCTTATGGCTGAAGAGGTCAGAAGAGGGCTTTCAAGCCTTAGAACTGGAGTTACTGATGGTTGAGCCACCATGTTGGTGCTGGGAACCAAACCCGGGTCCTCTGCAAGAGCATCACATGCTCTTTAACTGCTGAGCCATCTCACCAGCCCTTCATTAGGCCTTATCAACACCAACACTATTCCCTGGAAGTCATTTAGAGACCTTCTTCATTCCATGGATTAATCCTGTGTGTTGTGTGTGTTTGAAACAGGCCTCCTCTTGTCCTCACACTCCCTATAAGGATGATCCTGAACCTCTAATTCTCCTGTCTCTACCACCAAATTCCCCAAATCAAAGGGATGCATACCACATCTGCTTTTATGTGGTACCAGGGATTAAACCCAGGGCAAGCAAGCACTTTACCAACTGAACTCTATCCCCAGCCTTATTTTTTGATTTTTTGAGACAGTGTCTTCTATTGCCCAGGCCAGCCTTAAACTCTGCAGGGGAGGACAGCTTGAACTCTGGTCCTCCTGCCTTAGGTTCCTGAGTAGCTGGGTCATCAGCCTGCATTAGCAGGCCCAGTCCATCTCATACCTTTTAATAGTTGCTTTGTGATGTAATTTTTGCCTTTACTGTGACTTATGTAGTCACTTAAACTCCATGTTTATTTATTAAGTAAACATGAGAACTGTTCCAGGGTTTCATGACCTTAAGTAATACAGCACTGAATGTAATCTAATTGTTTTTGTTTATGTGGGTGAGCATTTGTGTAAGACAAAAATCTAGGAAGGAGCCTGGAGAGATGCCTCAGCGGTTAAGAGCACTTGACTGCTCTCCCGGAAGTCCTGAGTTCAATTCCCAGCAATCACATGGTGGCTCACAACCACCTATAATGAGATCTTCTGGCCTGCAGGGACACATGCAGGAAGAACATTGTATATATAATAAATAAACCTTAAAAAAAAATCTAGGAAGTAGAATTGTTGGCTCAAAGAGCTTGAAAACTTTAGGGTGGGTGAGATTGCTCAGCAGATAAAGGCACTTGCTGCCAAGCTTGGTGCCCGGGTTCAATCCTTGGAACCCACATGGTGGAAGGAGAGAACTGAACAAAGCAAGTTATCCTCTGACCTCCACATACACCCATCAAATGAACATAATACAAAATCTTTTAAAGCACTTAAGTATTTTAAAAGTTAACAAGTTATTCTTAAAGAGACTGCTTTCATCTACATAACTAGCTAGGAGTATGAGAAAATATGTCTTAATTTTAATAAATTTGATCTAATTACAGAGGTGCCATGGAAACAGAGGAGCCTACTAAAAAGAAAGCACTTATGGAGGAAAGGCCCACATGACTACAAGAAAGGTCAAGAAAAAATGTGAAGGGGACTGTTTGAGCACTACTACCCTTCAGTAAGGAGAAAAATCATTGCATTGTGAACTTCAGGTGACAGAAGACACATTTCTTAACTGGCTTGCACTGAGAACTGATTCCTGCACCAACTCAGCATGGCCTATAGAGGAGGAGGTGGGCATGGGCAGCGCCCCTCAGTGATGCCGTCCACCAACAGCACCCGCACACATAATATATGCATGGTCTCTGACTTTTTCTACCCAAACATGGGAGGTGTGGAAAGCCACATTTACCAGCTCTCTCAGTGCCTCATTGAGAGGGGGCATAAGGTCATAATTATCACCCATGCTTATGGAAATCGAAAGGGCATCCGTTACCTCACCAATGGCCTCAAAGTTTATTACTTGCCTCTCAGAGTCATGTACAACCAATCTACAGCCACGACTCTCTTCCACAGTCTGCCATTGCTCAGGTACATATTTGTCCGGGAGAGAGTTACCATAATCCATTCCCACAGTTCTTTTTCTGCCATGGCCCATGACGCTCTCTTCCACGCCAAGACAATGAGGCTTCACACAGTTTTCACAGACCATTCCCTTTTTGGATTTGCTGATGTCAGCTCTGTGCTTACAAACAAGCTTCTAACTGTGTCTCTCTGTGACACAAACCACATCATTTGTGTCTCTTACACAAGTAAGGAAAACACTGTACTGCGGGCAGCACTAAACCCTGAAAGAGTGTCCGTCATCCCTAACGCTGTAGATCCTACTGACTTCACCCCAGGACCACTTAGGAGGCATGGCGGTGTAATAACCATTGTTGTCGTGAGCAGACTGGTTTACAGAAAGGGGATCGACTTGCTTAGTGGTATAATACCCGAACTCTGTCAGAAATATCCCAAGTTAAATTTCCTAATTGGGGGAGAGGGACCAAAGAGCATCGTTTTGGAAGAAGTACGGGAAAGATACCAACTACATGACAGAGTGCATCTTTTGGGAGCTTTAGAACACAAGGATGTCAGAAATGTCTTAATTCAAGGACATATTTTTCTTAACACCTCCCTGACCGAAGCCTTCTGCATGGCGATCCTGGAAGCCGCCAGCTGTGGTCTACGGGTTGTTAGCACCAAGGTTGGTGGGATCCCTGAAGTGCTTCCGGAGAATCTTATTATTTTATGTGAACCTTCGGTAAAATCTTTGTGTGAAGGGCTGGAAAAAGCTATTTTCCAAGTGAAGTCGGGGATGTTCCCAGATGCAGAAAATATCCACAACGTAGTGAAGGCTTTCTACACCTGGCGGAACGTGGCCGAGAGGACTGAGAAGGTGTACGAGAGGGTGGCGAAGGAAACTGTGCTGCCGATGCACGAGAGGCTGACCAGGCTCACCTCCCACTGTGGCCCACTTACAGGCCACATTTTCGCTTTGCTGGCTGTCTTCAGCTATCTCTTCCTCATGTTCCTGAGATGGATGACTCCCGATTCTGTCATCGATGTGGCAATAGATGCCACTGGGCCAAGGGGAGCGTGGACTCATGAATGCCCTCATGATACAAAAGGAGATGAGATTGACAAGGTATCCAAGAGCGAGCCCGAACTGTAAACTTTAGACAGTTCTATTAATACAACTGAAAAATAACCTTGTTCTTTTGTTTTGGGGCTTTGAAGTTAACTTGGTAAACCATGCTACCTCTGTAGCATTCACCGTTTCATTTGAGGAAAGCTGAACACTCACATGATTCCTGAGCTTGGAAGCTCCTTGCACTCCTTTGAGGGAGACCAGTTTGGCCACTCAGGTTTGAAAGTTTCAGATTACTGAAATCCCTCCAGTGGAGATGTTTTAGCATTACACTTTGGGAGCCTTGGGTGCTAGGTCATTTTTGGCCAGTTTTTAACATTATACCATCAATTCAACATCCACCAGACACATACAAGCTTTCTTTAGGGAGATGTAAAGTTATGTGAACTATTTTAAGTCAAGTTGATGTTTCTTTATTGGACCCTGAGATTATACTCTTAAACACGGGTCTACTCAGTAAGTGTACCATACAATCTGAGCAACTTGCCAACATGTTTTGAGTACCTGCTCTGTATGAAATGTTGGACAGGTAGTGCCTGCCACTTAGGACTAGTTAATGTGATGCAGTCAAACAGTTAACATGTCCCAAATGCTCAAGTTACTTAATTTGAGGAAAATGCCACATCACATACTCTTAGTACCTCTCTAATCCTGCTGTATGCATTCTCCTAGGTGGACACTTCATATCATGTGTGTATGAAGAGATTTTGCTTTTCAAGTCCTAGGGGCTGGTACCACTGTTATAGGCTTAAAAAAATTACTTATTATTGTTGTGTGTTTATGACATGTATGTAGGGTAGAACAATGTGTTTCTGTATACAGACCTTGATTATAACTGTCAGTGTATGTAGAAACACACTGTTCCACCCAGCTATTTATAAAGTGAAGTGAACATTGAGGAGTTTTCTAAAAAGTTGTATTTTTTTTAATTGCATTGCTTCTGATGTTATAGTTGCATGCATAAACCAAGGCTGTTAAAACATGCTCATGACCAAAAATAAAGACGAGAATTTGACATTTTAAACAAACAAATAAAAACCTAATTGTTTAATTTTTTTATTACATTTCTTTAGAGTGTGTATGTGTGGTTGGCTGTATGCTTGCTACAGAGCACATGCAAGGTCAGAGGACAACTTGTTGGAGTCTTTTCTTTTTTTCCACCACGAGGATCCCAGGGACTGAACTCATCAGTCTTGGAAACAGGAGCCTTGAGCCACTGGGCCATCTCAACAGCCCCGAACTGTAGTCTCAACAGGCATTTTCCTATAGATTAGTGAGACTGGGATTTTCATCATTTGCTATTTAAATTGCTGTCACATCTTGTCTTCTAGTTTTTCCTACCTTTATTAACTGAATTCCTTTAATGTTTTATAGAGCAACTCAAAGATTGCCTCTCCGAAGGGCACTCACAGGGATGTCCTTGGAAAAGTAGTCCCTGCCAGTTAGAAGACACTATGAGGGCGGACGACTTCTTTTCTTTCTCTTTTTTTGCTTTTTCAAGACAGGGTTTCTCTGTGTGGCCCTGGCTGTCCTAGAACTCACTCTGTAGACCAGGCTGGCCTTGAACTCAGAGATCTGCCTGCCTCTGCCTCCTCAGTGCTGGGATTAAAGGTGTGCACCACCACTCCCTGGCCGACTTCTTCTTCTTTTTTTTTTTTAAAGATTTATTTATTTATTCATTCATTCCTTTATTTATTTATTATGTATACAGTGTTCTGCCTGCATGTATGACTGCATGCCAGAAGAGGGTGCCAGATCTCATTATAGATGGTTGTGAGCCACCATGTGGTTGCTGGGAATTGAACTCAGGACCTCTGGAAGAGCAGCCAGTGCTCTGAACCGCTGAGCCATCTCTCCAGCCCCCCGACTTCTTTTCTTTCTTGACGAAGTGGTATTCTGAAAATCTGGACCAAACTCTCAGAAGTAAGATATGCTTCCCTGTATGAGTTCATAGACCTGAAGCTCAGCACAGGAGGCCAAGGGTTCTGGCGGAATACTAATTGCTGGTGACAAACAGGTTGGACCTGGTGGCATGAGGAGCTCAGTGTGAACAAACTAAGTGATGAGGTACCAAGCCTGTGCCAGAAAGCATGTCCTTGCTCTATTCCTGCAGCTTGCGGCTTACGATGCTCTCAGCCCGTTCACAGCCAGTTCGAAAGCCTCGCACTTCCTTTCTCTTCCTCCCCCCACAACCTCCTCTTCCCCTATCACCTTCCCTCCTGTCTGGTCAATCCTAGTCATAAAGCAAGGCCAAACTCAGCAGCGCACCTCAACTATATACCTTTTTAAATAAATGAAGGGAAAACGTAAACCACTTCTCCTTTTATCAAAAGGAAAAAAAAAACCACTATTTTTTTTTGGAGAGGGGGGGTGGTCATTTCTAGTTTGAATGTTGTGACTCTCCCAGGGGACAATTTGTCCCAGGGGACAAATATATTCTAATCTCTCCGGTCTGTCTCCAGATAGAAAGGAGCTGTACTCAATCTTAAATTCAGTTCCAAATGAGGAAAGACACTTTTCTGGCTATTGAGAGATTATTCTGAGTTTCGTTTTTTTCGTATTAAAGCTAAGATTAGATTCTTAGCAGTCTGTCCTAAACAGCAGTGAGCTACAAAGGGGGCCACTCAGCAGAACCAAAGATAGACTTCACCTGAGAGGTCTTCCCAAGTGCTGGCTTAAGAACAACTCTTTTTTTGTAAAGAGATCAGAAAGCTTTTATGACTCTCTTACATCTGGTTTCTACACCTGCATGCAGCATGCTTCCCACAGCACCTTGGTGTCCCTGTGCTACAAAGTACTACTAGACAAGTTTTCCCTTTACTGAAGCAACCCAACAGCTTCGGGGTCACGTCTGTCACCTGCCCCCCTGGAACCACCTGCTAGCCAACCTCTTTTTATGTGAGGAAGGACAGCATAGGGGAGGCCCCTCAGACAAAGCAAGCCGTGAAAGCCAACAACAAACCAACATTTGTCTTCAAAACAAGACAGACAGACAGAAAATAAAAGCAAAACAACTTCTGCCCCAAACTTAAGTTCTAACAGCAGTTAATTTCCTAAGGAGCCCTTCCCCTGGGAAGGCCCGGCTCTGGGTCGTGGCATCTGCTGCCACTGGCTCCTCTACTCACCAGATTGCTGCTTCAGCTGCTCTTTTTGGATTGCTGCAAACTGCTTGGCATCAGCCAGGGAGCCGAAAAGAGCAGCAAAGGGGTTACTTGAGATGTTGTTGTTATTCTCCTGGTCTGTCATTTCACTTCAGGGTCTCCTCCATCCAGCCTAGGGGGCGGGGCTAGGCAAAGGACAAGAATTAGATTCAGAAGCACAGATAACACAAGCACTGGAGTGGACCCGCCCTTGTTCTTTTCCCATTTCTTGAGCACCACGCATTTGAAAATGCTCTGGAGTAAGACATGCCAATTCCTGTTCCCAAACTCAAGACATATTTGGCAAGATGGTTACAAACCTACCAACTGGACACAGCTCAAACAGTCAGCGGCTGCCGTTCCCACTAACTGTAACCACAGCACTGAGACGTACCACGAGAATTATGAACTTCCCGCAAGTTTTTAAGCTGGCAGACTAGTTTTCATTCACATGCAGAGGACAAGGTGGCACCTGCCCAGACCGCTACAATGCAGGGCTGAAGCTGGGAATTCCTTAGCTATACAGGAACTGATTTCTTCTTTTTCTAAAAGGCAGGTTTTCTTACATGGAGAGGGGAGGGGGTGCTCAAATTCACTATGTAGCTCAGGAGGACCTTGAACTCCTAATTCTTCTGCATACACCTAAGTGATAGGATTACATGCATGCACCACCATGCCTGGCTTGATACTCAGATTTGGAATGCTGAATCAGATATGAATGCTGGATCAAGGACAGAATCAGATTAGCTGTATGTTTGTAGGTCTCTCATGTATATTAAGTAACCTAATTCTACTCATAGGTTTAAAACTACAGATCTGGAGCTGGAGAGATGGCTCATCAATTAAGAGTGCCAGCTGCTTTTCTAGAAGACGTAGGTTCAATTCTCAGCACCCACATGGCAGCTCACTACTGTCTGTAACTCCAATCCCAGGGCATCTGATGCCCTCTTCTGGCCTCCACAGTCACCAAGCATGCACATGGTACACAGACATATGGGCAGGCAAAACATCTCCTCACATAAAACAAACAAATAAAAACAAAAACAAAACTACAGATCACTCTTCAACTAAAGTCTAAACATTCTTTTTTTTTTCTGTTAAAATGGGATAGGATCTTTTTATATAGCCGAGGCTGGCCCTGAACTCATGATCCTCCTGCCTCAGCCTTTAGAGTACTGGAGTTACTGGCATTCATTATGCTCGACTAGTCTTTTTTGATTCTATACTAATTTTTACTGCTTATCTATTTTTCTATATTCAAAAGACAAATTCAACTGTCAGGTAGACTAACATGATAGAGATAAAACACCTCAAAGATGAGGGGATAGGATAGGGAGGAGGAAGAACATTTGATCACCATTCGTTAATTAGTTAATTAGACAGACAGAGCCCCACTATAAAGCCGAAGCTTCCCTGGAACTCGATGGCTAGCTTGAAACTTATGCTCCTCCTGTCTCTGCCTCCTGAGTGCTAGAATTACAGGAGTGCATCACCATTATATGGTCTTGCCAAGGCTGGCCTGAGTGCATGACCCTCTTTGTTTCAGCCACCCCAGTGTTGAGATTATAGGAACAAATCACCACGCTTAGCTTACCTTCAGTTCATGGAAGTAAGGTTCCTTACAAAATGGTATTAACAAAAGCTACTACAAATTGGAAAAGTTACCCTTAATTACTAGAGGAAGAGAGTTTATATCACTTCTTGGCACTTCTGAGATATTTCGGTCAGTTGCTTTATGGCCTCTGCTATTTTTCCTGCATCAGAGCTAAAAGCTAATTAGCCATAGTGACTGCCAGTCATTCTAGTCTCCTCGAGGATGGTGCATGGCTTTCCTACTCTAAGGAAATGAACTCTTAGATGCTGCTTTACTTTTTTTTTTTTTTGCCATGTATATTCAGTTGAACTTAATAAAAAGTATCATATTTTATGTTGGAATTAACAGTCCTTGAGAGACTTTCTCCCATATAACCACTGGATAAGCTTAGTTCTCCTCTAATTCATGTGATGCCACACTCAACTGTCCTCTCATTGTTGGCTCCCTACCACCGTTCCCCTACCCCAAGGTATCCTGAACTCCAAAGATGGCAAAACGTATAATGAACTCTTGGCAATATTCCGGAGACAAAATAGCATCTTTTTCCTCAATATTACCATAGTTTTTTCCTCTGAGTATCAATTCCACTCAAGACATATATCCAGATGCATTGATCTCATCCACCGGTTCCAAGAAGCGGGGTAGATGACAAAGTGACTGATCTAAGAATGAGCAAAAGACCCTATCAAGGCTTATAGGAATCAGTGAACATTGTCTTTGGACTTCTGGCTGAATCGATTAAGAAGGGAACTCTTTCTTCTTTGGTTGCTAGACTAGTAAAACACAAGCCTAGGGTTGCCACCTTCCAGACTAACTAATTGCAAAAATTAGCTTGAAGAGAGAGAGAGAGAGAGAGGGGGGGGGGGGGGAGGCACACAGGTATGCAGGCAAAGTCCGTAACTGTATAAGTCAGTTTTAAGTGTGTATGTGTGTGTGATACAGGTGTGAGGCATATATGTATACAGCTATAGAGGCCAGTTGAGGATATTGGGTTCCTATTTCATCACTCTCCTTTCTCACTGGAGACAGGCTCTCTTACTGAACCTGGAGCTAAGATGAGAGCCAGCAAGCACTACCTGTCTCCATTGCCCATAGTGCTGGGGTTGCAGGTGTACATGTGGACACATCTAGCTCTTTATGTAGGTGCTGAGGATTTAAACTCAGGTTCTCATGCTAGGGCATCAATAGCTCTGACCCACTGAGTCATCTCCAGGCCTTTGCTGTTACTGAATGAAGCAGGGTCTCACTGTGTAGCCCAGGCTGGCCTTGAACTTGTAATGATTCTCTGCCTCAGTCTCCAAGTGCTAAGATTAAAGGCATGAATTACCATGCCTGGCTTGAGTAATTTTTAAAAATATAATTGAGATGAGCGGTGATGGCACACGCCTTTAATCTCAGCACTAGGGAGGCAGACCCAGGTGAATCTCTGTGAGTTCAAGGCCAGCCTGGTCTACAAAATGAGTTCCAGGACAGCTAGTCACACAAACGAGAAATCGTGTCTTGAGAAAACAAAACAAAACAAACAACAACCACCACCACAACGGTTTTTGCCTACCCTACTAAACTCATCTTTTTTGTATTTTCTTAAAACCAGTACAGAGAATTTCTTTCTCTAGAAACAAGGCTAAATGGTGTAATAACTTACAGGGAAAAGGAGGGCTGATAATCTGATGAAAATCTCTGTGGAGATTCCAGTTTAGATATAGTCATTGAGCTTACACATGTAAATTAAAGTACCTAGAAAGAAAAGAAAAGTCTCATAAAATGGAACCTTGGTATTTTGTTTGTTTTAAATTTCTCAGTTTGAGTACCGTGGTGCACACCTGTAATCCTTGCACTTGGGAAGTGGAAGCAAGAGGCCAGTCTAGGCTACACAGTGAGACCCTGACTCAGGAATAAATGAAGGGTTGAAGAGATGGCTCCTTTAGGATGATTTACAGCTCTATTCGAGGACCAGCGCCTGGACCCCAGTACCCATAACTGGGCAGCTCACAGCCGCCTGCAACTCCAACTCCGAGGGATCTCGCAACCACTTCTGTTCTCTGGAGGTATCCACACACTCTTACAGATACACATCCATAAATAAAGTTAAAAAAACATCTTTACAAGAAAGAAAGAAAGAAACAAAAGCTTGGAGAAGTGGCTTAGCAGTTAAGAGCACTTGCTGCTCTTCTACAAGACCAGAGTTAGTTTCCAGCACCCATGTGGGGCAGTTCATAACTTCCTGCAACTCCCGCTCTTGGGGATGCAATGTCCTTCTTTACTTCTGGGGGCATCTGCACATGTGGCATACACACATACAGAAACACACATGTACACATAAGTAAAATATCCTTTTAGAAAAAACAGTTAACAATAACAGTAATAAAAATAAACAAATCTCGCTGGGCGGTGGTGGCGGACACCTTTAATCCCAGCACTTGGGAGGCAGAGCCAGGCGGATCTCTGTAAGTTCGAGGCCAGCCTGGTCTACAGAGTGAGTTCCAGGAAAGGCGCAAAGCTACACAGAGAAACCCTGTCTCGAAAAACCAAAAAAAAACAAAACAAAACAAAAAAAAAAAAACCCAAATCTCTTGTTTTCAGCTGCCAGACAGAAACACACCCATTCCGTTGTTAGCTTTTGGGATGGTACAACCACTAGCCCTTCAAAGCCTTTGTATTTGATTTGTTTTTAATAAGCCTTTTGGATTTGATATGTTTTTAATAAGTCTTCCTTGATAACAAATTTCACTCTGCATACCTACTGCAAAAGTCTACATCTATAAGAAGTGTCTACCATTGGTCCCATAAATTTCTTCCATCCTCTCCTGATTTAAACTTTCACTTATGTAGAGTAATGTTAATCCTTTAAGGCAACTATTGGCTCCTGTGAGCGTACAGATATTTTAAGATCATGTCTGATCTGGTTTTAAAGTAGAACTACCAGTAGCACTTTAAAACGGAGACTGTCGAAACCAAGCTCTATGGATAGGGTTGGGTGGGGTGGGGTATAGTTCAATGCTAGAGCATTTAGTATTTGTGTATATATATATATAACATATATATATACACACACACACACACACACACACACACACACACACACACACACATACATACCAGCGCTTGTGTTCCAATCCCAGCAACTTCCTGCCCCCAGCCCAATTAAGCTGTACCAAATCGTACTCCATAAAGTCTCTATTTTGGAATAAAAAAATGTTTACAGGCTAACATGCTCTACCTAGAAATACCTTTAGTGCTACCTGCGGTATCGCAACAAAAATCCTTGTAACACATTTATTTGCAAGCTAGAAGGACCTCATCAAGTGAAACACATACTCACCCCAACCAAAAGCAAAACAAAACAAAACAAAAAACAAATAAAAAAAAAGAAAAAAACCCAAACTCCACCAAAACCTAGCATCCTGTCTTGGGGCGCATTTTATAGTTTTCTCTCTGGAATCAAAAAAGTCAATGACGGCGAGACAAAACTCATTCTTGCTCTAGGAGACAAAAACGGATCCTAAAGGGAACACCACTAAATACAAAGCTTCTGAGTTGTGGTCACTCAATCTGAGAATGTTTTCTCAGTCCAAGAAAAACTCGAGCATAATCTCAGAAGAGTTACAGCGACAAGCCCATCACTCGCCTTAAACATCAACATCTTGCTACATGCACTCAACTGGGTTGATTACTATGACTCTAGCTTCATTTCGTCCCTTCTGCATCTGGCTTTCTGTCGTCCACTCTTTATATTTTATCTTGGGGTTTGGCAAGAGATTCGTGGGCAGGAGGGAGACCCACCCACCGTGAGCAGGTCCTAGATAAAAGAAGTCGAAAGACAGCCACAGCCGACATTCGGGTCCTTTCTAGCAGGGTTTGGCAAAGAAGAACATGTGCAGAGACACCCGACGCGGGAGCACCATAAGGGTTTCCAGATCAGACAGGGTCGAAGTTCAAGAAGAGGGACCCAGGTCAGGTAAGGGAGAGCAGCAAGTGTGCAGAGGCCTGCACTGGCAATTGCTTAGCTGAGAACCCCGGCCGCAGTCCCAACACTTTCCTCCCCTGAAGATACCTTCTGTCTTACCAGAGCCTGAAAGGGCAGCAACGACGACACCTCACAGCCACAGCGACCAAAAGGTTCCCACTTCCGACTCAGCAAGGCAACCGGAGCTGACATCATCGATGAGCGCCGCGCCTGTCTGGTCTCTACCCTGCGCCGGAAGTAGGGGCGTTGTCGGTCCTCGCCCACTAATGGCAGGCAAAACACCGGCAGGGCGCACGCGCACACTAGCTGGCGGCTGGCAGGGGGGCGGGCCGGAAGCGGCCTTGGGATTGGGCGAGGCGGCGGGGCGGGGCGGGGCGGGGCGGGGTGGGGCGGGGCTGGTTCCGAGTTCAGTGGAATGTTAAGCTGGACCTTGGAAATCCATCTCTTGAGGGCAGATGCATTATTGTGACCTCTGGCTCTGCTCACAGACTGCGGCTTTCTGCTTTTTTCGCTCCCACCTGTCCTGTGGCCTTTTGGAGCCGACCCACTTTCTCTTTGTAGTTAACAATACCAACAAAGACAATGTCTAAGAAGTTTTGAGCAGGTATTGGTGCCAAGCAGTGTGCTATTTTGGGTTGGACTTAGTTTTATATATGCAATGGTAACAGTATACATCCTACTAGTCTGTTTTGAGGTACACAAAATTAATGAAAGCAGCAAGAGTACTGTTCACAAAATGAGAAAATGAGGAAAAAATTGCATGTCATAAGCAATCAAAGATTAATATTAAGAATATATATATAAAGAACTACAACTCACTGAGTGTGGTAGTCCATACCTGAAATCCAAGCCCTGGGGAGGGAGGTTACAGAAGAAGATCAGGAAGTTCATGCCAGTATGGGTTACACAGTGGTTCTCAACCTTCCAAATGATTTAACCCTTTAAGACCCCAACCATAAAATTATTTTCATTGCTACTTCATAACTGCAATTTTGCTACTGTTACAAATCATAATGGAAATATCTGATATGCTCCACCACCAACCCCCCCCCCCCAAAAGAGGTCTCGACTCACAAGTTAGGAACTCCTGGGATACACAGATTCCAGCCTTTTCTGGGTTATGTGGCAAAATTCTCAAGAAGAGAGGGGCGATGGGGGGGGGGGGTGGAGATTGGAACCCTTATCTTTTGTTGTTGTTGTTGTTGAGACAGGGTTTCTCTTGTGTAGCTTTGGAGCCTTTCCTGGAACTCACTCTGTAGCCCCGGCTGGCCTCAAACTCACAGAGATCCACCTGCCTCTGCCTCCCAAGTGCTGGGATTAAAGGCGTGCACCACCACTGCCCAGCAGAACCCTTATCTTTTGATTATGGAAATTTAAAATAGTGCAGCCTTTTTAGAAAAAAGTTTGGTGATTTCTGAAAATGTTAAACATAGCATTATTACACAAATCACATGATCCAGTAACCTAAATTTTATGATGTCCCTTACAAACTGAAAGTAGGGTTTAAATAGGAATTTGTCCACTAGAGTACAGCTGTATTCATAGTAGTCAAAAGGTAGAAACAACTCCGAATGTCCATTAATGGGTAAATAGATATTAACATAGATTACATAAGCCTAACACAAGCTTATGGTGTTAAAAAGGAATAGCGCTCTAATACATACTAAAACTGGACAGACCTTGGAAACCTGCTACATGAAGTAGGCTGGACACAAAGGGACACATGCTGTGTGAGTCCACTTATATGTAGTACCTAGAATAGGCAAGTTTATAGAGCTAGGAAGCAGGAAAATGTCGCTAAGGGTTAGGGATGAGTAGGGAACCGACTCAGAGTCTCTGTTCATGGTGATGAAGACGTTCTGGAAATGGACAGCGGTGACAGCTGCCCGACAGCTGGAAAGCACTTTTAACGCTGTGGAACGGCACATTCAAACATGACCGTGGTTTCCGTGGTGTGATAAAATACCCTCAGAAACAACGCCAAGAGGCAAGGATTGGTTTTGGCTCCCAGTTTCAGACCTTTTCACCTAAGGTCAGTCAAGGCAAAGGAAAATATGGCGGTAAGAGCTCGTGGCAGAGGCTGCTTACCCTTGACAGCAAGAGGCAGGGAGTGCTGTTGGTAGTGGGCTTCTTCCTCCCTGTGTTGTCAAATTTGAGCTCCGGGGCCACTGGATGGTTCATCCAGAGCAAGTCACACATCAACAAGTGTGCTTTAATAATCACCAGGATTGCTAAAATGGTAACTTTAGTCAGGCACATGCAATATGCCCATAATCCTAGCACTTGGGAGACTGAGCCAGGAGGATTCTGATTAAGTTCAAGACCAGCCTGAGCCACAAAGCAAGACCTTACCCCTAAAACACCAAATCAAAATAACAAAAGACTATAAAATAACAACTTTTGTGTCATGCACATTTTTATCACATACATAAAAGCACTGTGCACTGTTTGAGTATCTACTGCTGTTCTACCTCCTAAAGACATCGTATAGGGAAAAAATTCAGGTGTGTACATGAGTGTGCCTTTGTGATGTGTGCGTGTGAGTGCAGGTGTGCAAATGTGTGTAGATCAAAGACAACCTTTGAGAGTTGAAGTTTAGTTTTAAAAATTAAATGTTTCAGGGCAGGAGCGATGGCTCAGCAGTTCACGGTACTTGCTGCAAAAGGCTGATGCCTAGAGTTCAATCCCTGGAACACATGTAAAGGTAAGAGGAAAGCAGTTGTCTCCTGACCTCCAAGTGTGTGCTATGTCACACACGTGCACAGGTGTACAACATGCATACATACAATTACAGACTTGGTGTTAGAAGCGTAGCATGGCGGTGCACACCTTTAATTTCAGTAGTCAGTAGTCAGGAGGCAGAGGCAGGCAGATCTCTGAGTTCAAGGCCCAGTGTGGTCTATAGAGCCAGTTCCAGAACAGCCAGGGCTACACAGGGAAACCCTGTCTCAAAAAAATCTAAAAAGAAAATTGGTGTTAGAGATTATGAATTATGAATTGGAGGCTAGCCGAACAACACAGGAAAATTCAAGGGCAGTCTGAACTGTATATCAACACCTTGTCTCAACAAAAATTTCAATGGTTAGAAATTTTAAATATAAATCTTGCAGAGTGTGGTGGCACAATGCCATTAATATCCACTCTCAGAAGGCAGAGACAGATAGATCTCTGTGAGTTCAAGGCCAGCCTGTTCTATCAATAGAGTTACAGGTCAGTTAAGGCCACACAGTGAGACCCTGTCTTAAGTATATATGTAATGTAAATATATATATATATATATATATATATATATATATATATCTTAATATTTATAAATAAAAATACAACCTAAAAGTTACAAAAGACAAATGAAATCTATTACATGTGAATATTTGAAAATGTACATAAAACATAAGGAAAATTTAAAAATATTTACAAATATCACAAAAGATATAGTTTTCCCAGGTATGTACAGGGATGATACAAGCCAATAAGGAAAAAAACCCTCTAATTTGATATAAAAAAAACAAATGGTTGACTCCTAGTTTTATAAGGAAAATTAAAATTAAAGCTATATTGCGTGGGGCATGGTGGAGCATGCTGTAACCCCAGCACTTGGCACATGGAGGCGGGAAGTTCGAGCAGTCAAGGTCAGCCTTTGCTAGACAGTGAGTTTGAGGCTAATCTAGGCTACTTCAAACCAACCAACAAACACATAAACAGAAAACCCACCCTACACTGAGATGCTCCCTTAAAAATCATATTGACTCTTGTGGAATATTAGTTGAAGATGTGTTATATTTGTTTGTGCTGCGAAATATCTGTTTAATGATGCAAAGATGTGTTGCATTCTTTTTTTTTTTTTTTTTTTTTTGGTTTTTCGAGACAGGGTTTCTCTGTGTAGCTTTGCGCCTTTCCTAGAACTCACTTGGTAGCCCAGGCTGGCCTCGAACTCACAGAGATCTGCCTGCCTCTGCCTCCCGAGTGCTGGGATTAAAGGCGTGTGCCACCACCGCCCGGCGTGTTGCATTCTTTTATGTTGCGTCAGGCCAGGCATTCATAAGTGAGAATAAGTCTCTGTATATTTATTTGGGAGCTGGATGGCAGGCCCCCAAAAGAGAAAAACAAAAAACAAACAAACCCCCCAAACCAACTCCAATTGGCACAGCTCAAACATCAGCAATAAGGTGGTAACCCACGTGCACAGGAGCAGCAGGCACTGGTCTGCTGTGATTGGTAGTATACATTGATACAACTACTATGGAGTGAATTTTACTTGAATAAAATTACAGGTGCAGATATTTTCCAACTATACTTTTTATTCCTATTTGTAACTAATACTTTACACATGTTTAAAATGAAATTTATTATTAAAGCTAAAACAACAAAGCCCTAAAAACTACAAAACACAAGACCTAGGTGACAATCTCATGATTGTATTGTGCTCCAGTGGCTCTCATTTGTACCTTTAGCCTTAATCCTTTTTAATAGCTTTTCTGCATTTTTTTGTACTATTCCTGACCGATTAGTATTAAAAACAGACTTTCTCATTTAAAACCATGTATATACCTTAAAAATTTTTTTAGTGGCAATCAAGTCTAATATTCTAGGACTTTGGAGAACTGTTGCTGTCCATGAATCTATTTCATCCTGAAGAGTGACTGTGTTTTCCTGAACAATAGTTAACCTGTTTCTTGGTCTGAAGAGAGAGCTGGCTATGTTGAATTTGTTGGTTGCCTATTGCAGTGGCACCGGTGGTCACTGACCCTGTCAGGGCCATTTCTAGCAGGACTAGTAAAAGAATCTAAGGGTGTAAGTATTGCGGAACCTCTTTTGGAGCCTTGCTTCCTGGGAACACATCCAAGTCAGAGGCCAAGAGTATGAATCTGCACCTGTCTGTCTGGCAACAGGTGTAAACATTTTTCGGGCAGGTCAAGTATTTGCTGTAAGGACTGCTGTTCTTTGTTTTGTTTTTTGAGACAGGGTTTCTCTGTGTAGTTCTGGCTGTCCTGGATCTTGCTCTGTAGACCAGGTTGGCCTCGAACTCAGAGGTCCGCCTGCCTCTGCCTCCCGAGTGCTGGGATTAAAGGTGTGCGCCCTCACTGCAGGCAGATCTACTGTTCTTTTAACTGGTCTGGTATAGCCCTTTTGATTTCCCACACATCGGGCTTTTCTTATGACCTGCTCAGGTGGCCCAGTTAAACACACCCCTTTTGTGTTGCTAGTCAGGCTTTGGTTAGT